ATTTGTAAATTTACTTTTAAATTATAAATTTACTTTCAAAATTCAGATTCATTTTTTAAACATAATTCCAAATTTTGGCCTCCTTCTGGCTTCTTAGGGTCAGTTTCTGTATACTTGTTGTACATCTCTGGATTTACTGAGCTGCAATTCTTTTCCCTCTTTATTACTGTCTTTTTCTGTTTCCTTTTCTGTTCATTCTCCCAGCAGTCCTGTGCATCCTTTTTCCTCCATCTTGCCCACACTCTGTTTTCTCCTACAGTCTCCCTGCATTAATCTGCATGTAAGTTTTCTCTTTTGGACACTCCTTATTGCAGAGATTGTGGTCTCATCCTCTCTTACCTGTCCTGTCCCTGCCTACTCTGCCTTTGTGCCCATTTATTATCCTCTGCTGTGCACCATTTCCCAAAAACAAGGACCCTCAGTTTGATACACTCTGTTGCCAACCACTCCATACTCAGATTCATGCTGCTCTCTCTCCCATCTCCTTGCTGTATTTCCTAACAACAGGTTTACTTTCACTGATCCTTGAAGATAACAGCATTGTGTTGTTGAAAGAGGTGTATCCCAACAAAAAACACAAGGATGGAGTCTAGCCATCCTGAGCAAAATGGTCTCAGAAAAACTGTAATAGTTTGTTATAAGTGAAATATTTACATCGTGGTGGTGATAAAAGTGTAAGTGTCTGCACACCTTGTGTAACCAGAAAGGTAACTTCAGATGAGTTTCTTTTCTGGGTGTCAGTTAGTGGATAAAAATAGGTTTTGTCATAATGGACATGTGGATTCCTTGCCAGCCATTTCCAAAAGGATCCTTGTCCTTTCAGTAACCTCATTTGTAAAATGGGGGAACAATACCTCCTGTCTTCGATGGTATTGCTCAGTAATGGGGCCTTTGAAGCATGGTCTTTTGGCTTTCATCGCAGTGCACCTGTGCCATGGTGAAAGGGCATTTGGTGGGGCTGTTTGTCTCTGTCTCTCAAACTGCTTCGATGTTGGTCAGACACTTTCCCAGGTGGGGAGCCATATGTCGCAATTGCTTATGTTTGATGGCTTTGATTAGGCATTTTTCTTTCAACTAAATGAAAACTGTCAGATTTTAAGCAGAAGTATTAAGAGCATCCATTTGTAAGTAAAAAGCGAAGTCTGTAGAAGCTGTGAAGAAAGCAAGCAGTAAAAGTTGAGTAAAATGAGTACAAAATTTGAGCCCCAGCAGTATATCTGAGAAGTATAACTTTTGATAATAGCATGGAATTACATACCCATAATGAGTACAATGGACTTGTATAGGTTAACAAATTACTACCTTTCTTGTTCTTTTTCAGAAGATAGAAACAAACTGTTTGTTAGCCTTCTTTATTCTGAAGCTATGAGTTGCTTTATATACAAATTACAGTGTGACATTTATGTTCCTTCCTGTGTGGATGTTTTTACACAAAGACATTTAGGACATGTTCTCTTATTAATTTAGGGGTATGAAAGTATGAAAACTGTTAGTACACAGATGCTATTCATCTCACTAAATTTATAGCAAAAAATGTAAAATTAGCATTTTCTTCCAGTCTTGGGTCACATTTTAAACTCATTAGTGTTGTACTGTTCTCAAGATGGGGCTGGGGAGAAGTAAGTACAGGTTTCTGAAGCACTACTTCTCACGGGAGAAAAAAGTTTAGATGAAAGCTGTTTGTAGCATGGATAGCATAAAGATTTATGCAACTCATACTTAATTGATAGAAAGTATCTATAGATACCTTTTATAGAAAAGCAGCTACTGCTTGCTGGGTTTTTTTTCCATTAACAGAAGTAAAAAAAATTGATGGTCAACTGTGCTAGGAGTGGATGCTTACTACTTTAGAAAGAACATTGCATTGTTTTGACTTCTAAAATTCAGCAGAGCAAGGCCTATAATGCTTGCTTGCTAACTGACAGGTGAACGAGGATTATTAAGGACCAGGACTGTATTGTCACAGAATTTTCATGTCCAGTTATTTAATTTAGGATTGTACTTATCATATTTAGGTGATACAAGTAATGTAATTGTATTGTACGCATACACCTTCATACACAGTTTTTATTTGCACCCAGAAAGAAAGTGTCATTAGGGAAAATAATTTCAGATCAGCTACTTCTGCGTGTCTTCCTGGTATGTAAGTGGCATTTGACTAATGTGACAAATCTGATAAGGAACACAGCAGCATCCAAGTTTGAATTAAAAATCCACCCCTAGAATGAGTAGTAAAGCTTAAATGAGGGAAACCAAACTCCTGTTTCGTCTTGTATGTAGTACAGTAAACTTCTTTTTCATTTTGGTGATATTTCTTTGGAATCTAAAAGTTGTTTGGTTTCTTAGATTAAAAACTCAAGAACAGAGTCTTAACTATGTCTTTCCCTAGTCCTTGATAAACTGGATTTTGTGTTGCATTCAGTGCAGTTCATTTCAGAAGACTTAATGAAGACCTTCACAGTAATGTCAAATGGTGAACGAGTGGGCTCATGACCCAATGCTTACTGCCCAGCTGGTAGGTGAAGGCTTTTTGATCTCACAATTTGGTTAAAGAGGAAAAAGATCTTGGATTTGAGTGTAGCTTACTAGTAGGGCCCTTTTTGGACACTAGAATCACAAAATCTGCATGAAAGAAGCAGTTTCAGTGATTCACCTTGTGGCCACAACAGTTGCTACTTATCCATTACTGTTGGCTGTGCCTGCACGCAGTTAATTGCTTGAGGTGGAATTATACTCAAGTCTCACTCCAAGAAAGTGTAAATTCATAACCTGACTAACAACAAGCACTGGACCAAAAAAGCTGCCCAGTTTAAAACAGTAAAGAAAGAGATATTACAAGTATCCCAAACATCGCATGTGTAGGAACTCTGGAACCTCAGGCTCTGGCACAAGTTTATTCCACATGTCTGTCACATTGGAAAGTGGTTATTATGACATGTCAGCAGGACATGTCATTTAAGTGTTGATTTTTGTGGAATAACATTTGAAAGTGAACAGGCTTGCCATTTGCAATGTATGTTTGAATGACAGCTGTTCTGTTTTCCTAGATTTCAACAAGAAAACTAGCTTGAAGTTTTCAGGAGCTAAATCTGTCAGCTTTTTGATACAAAGGAAATTTGAAGGGCTGGAGCACTGACAGCAGTGGGGACAGAAGCACAGTTGCAGAATAAAAATCAGAAATAAGTACAGATTTACTTTGCTCTTTAATTTACGTTCTTGCTGTTTGAGAGCCCAAAGCAGAATAGGGGTACTGTAAGGCCACTGCTAGTAAAAATATTTTCACAAGGCTGTTGGGGGTATGTAATCTACCTTCCTCACTACATCACTGAAGGCTAGAGTTAGCACAGAACTGAGAATTGAAAGCAAAGATAGCATAGCTGTGGCTGTGCATCCTCAACAGCGGGACCAAGCTGGAACCTATCCTGCATATTGCACTTGGCATTGGTTTATGACGTTTATATGTGTGATGGTAATCCTCACCATTCTCAAAACTCTCTATCTCATGCATGGTTATAAATTAATGCTTTGGGTATCACATCTTTGTTTCTGCAACTGCTTCTAATGAAGTTCTCTGTGTGCAGGTTTTATTTAAATTCTACTTTTCTTTTGATCTTGCTGTTAGTATTTGAAGTTGACTGATATTTATCACTGTGTTCTCACTACCTGCCTAGTTTCCCTGGTGAATACCCCATGGCCTTCTTGCTTAATGCCGAACTGGCAAAGATGCTGGCAAACGTTACCGTAGACAAGCTGATGAAGTCAGACTAATGACTTAGGCTGGGTTCTGAACTTAGAGCTTTTACCATTTTGGTTGAGGTATTTTTCTGTTTTGGTTTTCTTTGGGAGGGGTAAGGGGTGTTACACCCAACAAAAACCTCTGAGTATGGAAGCAGCTACTAAGCTAGCAAAGCTAGTCTGGCAAACTTTAGCTTAATATTTGGTAATCATTCAGTGATACATGATGTAGGCCTTGAGCAAGTCAAATGAGTATTTTAATTCATAGGTTTTAGTGTGTTTCTCCTACTGTTAGGTTACTCTTTTTAAAAGTGGCTGTATTTTACTGTCAGTATCATTTTAAATGAAATAGTGCTCATTTCAGGATAAATGAAAGGGAAGTGTTACTGTAAGACAAATCTGTGATAAGTGTTCTTCTGTTGGTACAGATGGCATCTGTGTATTTTTATCACTACAAATCACTCACAGTTCGAGTCATACTTAGTCCAATATCTTGCTTTATGTTTATTAAAATAATCACAGTTTTAGATACGATATTAATCACTCAGTTCTTTGGAAACATTTGGATTGGTAGATGAAAACACATATTTATTTTGAGAAAGCAAATGATACAATTTTCCACATATTTGTAAATCTGGAAATAATAAACTTTATTGCAAAGCAGTGAATTAGTAAGCTGGAATCTGATTTGTTAGCTTTATTTTTCTCATACATGATTTATCAGTCATACATTGCAAGTGCATGACTGATAAATCGGGACTTTGAATAGTACCAGTAAATGCACTGGGGACAGTTACCTACATTTAAATACATAGTACATTTTTGTTTTTTTTTTTTGTTTTTGTTTTTTTCAAAAGTTTCAGTCTGTTGGTTAAGATTCCTCAGGAAGTCTTGCATTTGTTTTTTATACTGTGATGATTACATTCCAGCTCTGAACTGGTGTCCTGGGTTCAGCAGTAGCAGTCATTTTTTCTCCTTTGTAGCTGGTGTAACGCTGTGTTTTTGACCTTCGGCCTGGGAACAGCGCTGATAACACCAATGTTTTCAGTTACTGCTGACTGGGTTTAAACCATGACAACTGATAATTCCACAGCTGTGCTAGCTTAGAAGGGAGAACAGCAAATTTTTAAAGGTTAGGTTTTCAGATAGAATACAACTAGTTGGATCTGATAGATTTGGATCAAACTGCCTTTTCCCTTCTGGGGATTGCTGGTGACTTCGTTAGCATAGCCAAAACAGTTTACAGACTCTTTTGCATTATACAGGTTACCTGTGCTCCAGAGATGCCCACTCTCAGATTGGGAGTGCCCTGTCTATTCTTCCAGCACCTGAGCCAAACCCATAACCACGGAATGGGCAAGCAAAGCCATAAGTGCCTACGTGCCCCTGCTCTTCACTGTATCTGGTGAGTTTTTCTATACTATAATGTCTACATAAAAATGGATTGTGAATCCCTATAATATTGGCAGTGTTCCACGTAGCAGTAGAAATGAACTGTGGGCTGTGCTCCACTTCATCTTTACAAAATGATAAAGAGGGAGCAAATTAGCTCCAAGCTTTCCAAACTATGAGCCTGAAGGAGAACAAAAAGGATAATTTCTTCATTCTCTCAAATGAAAACCAGTTGCCCCCTGCTTTCCTCAGGATATGTGAGGGAAGCAGGCCTGCATGTACGAAAGATGTGAAGTGATGCCAACTGGTTATATAACGTATGTGACCTGATCAAGATAGACGACTTCTGACTTAGTGACTGGTGTTTTCATAATTAAGGCAGTTTTCTTGTTCTGAACCCCAGCATTTACCCAGTTGAATTAACTTTTAAGGAATGGTATTCAAACTATAAAATATTTAAATTCAACTGAGATGTAGCCAGATTAATTTTGCACCAGTAACATTTATTGAAAACTGAAGGAAAATGTGTGTTTCTGTAGCAGACACACCCGACCTAACCAGTTTCAAATTTGTACACACTTGCATTAGCAAACTGTAGCTTGCTTTGCTCAACTGAAGTATGAGTCACAAAGATATCAAAGAAAATAACATCCAAAATTCCACTTTAAGGGTAACACATAATTATACAATTGGTTGACTCAAATGAACAGTCGTCTTCATAAGCAGCATTATCTTGAATGACCTTCTATCTAAATATGTCTTTACACAAAGGGCCAACACTTGCTAACCCTGTTTGTATGAACCCTCAGAGCATGTCAGCAGAACTGTTCAAAGGGCAGGGTTACAGTCAGGATAGCTTCAGCAGTGCTGAGATACTTGTGTGTAAGAACGTTGGAGGTGGGCTTTTGTATTTCTTTGTTCCTGTAGTACATATAACAAACGTGTTTTACTGTTAAATAGTCTGGATGTACCAGGAGAGCATGACATTTGTATTCATGGCATAAAATACAGCTTGAAAGCGTCTTCACTTGATTGGTAAAATTCAGTTGCCCCCCACAGTGGAGAACAGGCAAATTTTTCACTTACATTTTTTGGTTGGGAGTAATTCCATTCACTTCAGGGCAGTTGCTCAGTATTTACTGTCATGCAACTCGGTTCAGAATGTGCCCCCTCAGACAGGAAAACACTCAGAAAACAACTGTGAGAAGATCATGCTGCAGAAGATTGTAATGAGGAGAAAGAAATATTCCAGAAAATAATTTGCCTAATCTCTTTTATAAATTCATATTTAAGCATACATACATTTATATTTACATATTTACACATCACAGAAAAGGGGACATCAAAAGTCACCCAGTTCAGCCACTGTGATGAGCTGGGATCAGCTTTGCCTAGAGCATGTTACGTGAGAAGCGATAGTTTACTATTAGGACTTGCTGAAATGGAATTCTGCTCTTTGTAATGAAGTACAGGCAGAAGATATAGATGTTTTACCTTGAGTAACCTAAAATTCATGACAGAACTTGAGAGAAAAAAGGATGATCCCATATACACACGTTTTCCTATCAGCTAAGAATCTTCACTGTATTACCATTATAATGATGGATCTATCATGCTTTACCAACTGCCATACTCAAATGGGGGGAGAGGGTGTTGGGTAGAAATGGCTTATAATACCTTACATATTGAGGTGTTACTAATGTTTAGAATAAACCTAAATGTATTAAATACACAGTAATATCCATGTTTGTAAACAGAAATGAACGTCATTAGGAGGTAATTTGTTATGTATGTAATTAAGTAACATTCTCTACTGGAATTATATGCATTGTACTTCCTATATTGGTTCAAATCGCATTAATATTAAAATGCAAAAAGAAAACCATGCAGTTGTATGAAAATGTAATTCTTAAAAATTATTTATAAGATGGAGTTATTTTTCTGACTAAAAACATCTTTTGGCTTTGTGTATTATATAACAACTCGCATTCAGTCTGGGAGGAAGAGCTGGAGCTATACGAGCAAAATATTGAGGTACTATTGTGCAATTCTTCTGGAATTTTGCTGTGCAACAATAAATGTCAAACATGTCTTGTAATTCCCTTATGATAGTGTTACCCCAGTAAGGTACTTTTTCAGTGTATTTCTTTACTTTCTCCTTTTTCCACTTTATCAGTCAGTACAAGATACCAGCTTGCACTGACTTACTGTATACTCTTTAATAATGTCATGATGTAATAATATTCTATGTCCCAGAAAACACAATGAGAACTCCATATTAAAATATTGTATAATTATTTCTTGCACTTGATTATAAGTGTGGGGCAACTCTAAATCAAAAAATCATATTTAATTCACACGCACAAAATATTACTAGAGTAACAAACCAGAAATTTCCAGATACAAGAGAGTAGAAGTTGTTTGCCTCACATCTGCAGGAATGCACTCAGTGAATTGGTAAGGCAGATGGTGCAATTTTTCTACCAAATTCTGTAAGATTGCTAATGCAAGGTTTCTCCCATCTGTAACTCACTGTAGTGAGACCAGCTGTTCTTGTGTTTTTGACCACATCCATTTCATAATTGCAAAATTAATCTCTTGGGTTTGGATCTGATCCAAATTCAAATTTGTAAAACAAAAATAAAATGGCAAACTGTAACACCAGATCTACCCTGCTCATCACTCCGCTTTGAATGCAGTGGCTCCTACACTTCATATTATGGCTTGACTCATTTGTGAATGTAGATGCACACACAAAAATACAATCAGAACTACTTTTTAACTGTGGTGTTATGGTGTGTATATATATAGCAACAGGTTATACAATAACATTAGTTAATTAGGTATTATTAAAGCAAGGTTTTATAAATCTGTCTCAGACATCATGTAAGAAAGACATTTAATATAGGGAATAAAATGTATTTATAAGTATTACAGTGATTTAAAAATACTTAAAGCCTATAATAATCTGTTGTTTGCTAGGATTATAACTGGATTTTACTACTCATATTTGTGTGCATAGGCTCAACTGCTTGAATACCATGACTCACTCCACTGGTAGGTGAGTACCATCTTTCTACATCTTGTTTGTGGTTTCTTGGCAAGTATTTTCAAATGCAGATGCCTGGCATTAATTAAGGGGCCTAATCTTTGGATGTAGTGGCTTGGAATTCATGTTGCATTAGGGAGTATTCAGTAGTTTTGAATGTAATATTACTGGCTTGGAATATTAAATAATTGCCATCTTTTCTACTAAACCTTAAGAATGTAATCTGTGTTCATTTAATTTCTTTGACATTAGCTCCTGAAGAAAGGGAATAGAGCAGACTGAAGTTAATCCAGGGACTGGTTTACGTTTCTGATACTGCAACTTGCTCTGCAGTGGCAATGGACAGGTTACAGCATGCCTATAATTATATATCATATAAACACATTACAGCAGTAGTTTCTATAGGCACAGTTCCAGGAACAACCTGAGGTTGTTCTAAATAACAAATATAACACCACTGCAAAGTGTGGGAAACAGTGCATCACATCAGTAAAAATGCTCATGCTGGTAAGTCTATCGTTGGGCTGTTGTGCGCATAAGAATACAAGAAAAAATAATTAATTGCAGATTGTTAGGAAGCAGTTGGAAGTAATTGTTTTGCCAAATTAGTAGTCTTGAAGATAACACCACGTTCACTAGAAAATTTCTTACTGGCACAATTTAGCAAGAATATATGAAAGGGAGGTTAACTGAGTGCCTGTTCTCTAAAATAATTGAAAAAGGCCTTTTTATTTTTTTGAGAAAGCATCTTTTTCCTCCTAGTCACTATTTCTTGTCTAATTGCCAGCTGCTGAGCTAGTTGATGTTTCAAGTATATAAAAGGGAGTGATGGACATGTATGCAGAATATGTAGAAGCATTTTTGGTTGATTACATGGACCAAGCTGGGAGATACTAGCAGCTCTTTGTGACTACACTCCTTGTTTGTTATTCCAAGTGAGTTTTTCCTATGGCAAGGTGGCTCCTGGAGTTCAGACATTAGCTTATATTATAGCTCTACATTCAAACATAAAATACACATAATGGTTTCTTCTAACAGTTCTTCTCTACTACTTAAATCTCTATGAAATACGGTTGGAACATAACGGGTACTTTTCTTTTCCAAGAACTTTTCATAATGGTCTAAGAAGGATTTACTAACCAGTAATAAGGATATCGCTGGTGGTTTTTGCCCTTGTTAGGAGGTGGCTCACTAAAAACCAAACACACAAAACCTCAAAACAAAAGAAATATGCTTTAAATAACTGCCTATTACATATGCTGCAAGGGATTGAAAATGCGCAAGTTAAAAATATATCATCCTGTCATCTTAACTCATAACAAACAGTATAGCCACAGCATGTGGACAGGGTTTAAGTGTGGCTCTCATGTGGACTGTGCTGACCCTTTTCTATGAGCCACACATAGGTTCCAGCATGGTGTCAGTGCTGACTGCCCAGAAAGCCACTGAAAAGCAGATACAAAGCCTGCAGCAGGAGCTGCTGAGGTCCATCAACTTATCCTTTCTTTTCCACTCCAAGTTCTTTCAAAACATGCACTTTTTTTTTTTGCTTTCTAGTACATGAATTATGTCAAAACTGATAAAATGCATTAATTTACATTTCTGACATCTTTTTATTGGTTTAGTGTTTTACTCCAAAAGTCTGGGGAATAGGATTTAAAACACCCATTTATTGAAGGACAGTTTATTTTAGCACTACTGAAAAAGTAGTGCTAAAATAAAAAAGGAACTGAAGAAGAAGGAACATATATATCTAATCCATATGAATTACTGAAGAAAGAAAGGAACATATATATCTAATCCAGTTCCTCATGTAAGAAAGGAAAATGGTGTAAAAATCAGACAATAGAAGCTAAGATTCTTATTCTGGGTCTGCAGCTAAAACATTATGCTTTGTGATGAATCACTTAACACCCTTTCCCTTAGTCTGCCACCTGTAATATGGTACAAACCAAGAGTTTTCCATGAATGTGTACTGACTGAAAAGAAAGAAAATTATTTCACATCTTTATGAGGATACACAGCTGCAATGCAATGGCAAAGTATGGTCATTGTTTCGTGTAATGAATAGAAACTATCGGTTTCTTTGTACAGTTTCTCTTTAAAGAAAGACATTTCTCTTTAAAGAAAGAAATATATCTCAGGATATATTCAGAGAAAATATTTTGGACAGTACTTACGGACTAGAAGAGCTCGTCTATAACAGCTTTTAGAAACATTGGGCATGTGATCTTGGCTTGCTCTCAGAATAACTTTGATGCTTATCATTCTTATTACTATTATTATTTTTGTATAGATGATTAAATGTCATAACACTTGGAAATTAATGTCCTATTTAATTACAATAGAAGGACAGCTGTTAGATGTGGTGATGACTATTCTTTATTTCACTGTCTTTGAAGCTTAACTCCACCCTACAAAGCTCCTTCTTCCTGATTTATACCCATAATTTCCTCTGTAAAATGCTTGCACAAGATCAATGGGTATTGCCGTCCATTCAAAACACCAGAAAGGTTACAAATCAAAACTGTTTGAGTCACAGTAAAATTGCCTCGTCACTTATCTTCCCCAGTGCTTTGGGGTAAGGTAATTCCGGTATACTTACAATTCTGCTCTAGTCTACAATTAAAGTTACATAGCATGGTCCATTCTATTGTTCTACTGTTATCAGACTATAAACATCAGAATCATGAAACTAAGCTATATACGAATATTTTACTAAAATCAGCCAGATCACTTAGATGTGATACTACTTCATTTTGTGAATTTTCTACATAAATATCTTTCAGGTAATTTTTGTCAGGTCACTTATTTTTCCTTTGCATTGTATTTTGCCCAGTCATTGGCCCAATTAATAGTGACAAAGCTCCTGCAAATGCAAGATTTGTTTTCACATTTTGATTGTATTTTAAGAATCCCAGAACCATGTAACTTCTATGAATACAAAACTGATCTCAGTGAAAGAAGTAAGGAATATCATAATTGCAGTGATGCTCTAGGTTTGAGTTACTGTGTAAGACTCTGTTAGCACATACAATTTTTGGAGGCAATGAACTCTGCATTCTGCAAAAAAGTTCTAAATTCTTGTGAAAGTAATTGTGGCATCATGCTGACCTTTATTTTGCATATAAAGGTTTTGAATCTCAAATCTGAAATTAAATGCCATCCTTTTTCCCATTTTGAAGACAGCAAGTTGGAATAAAGCACTCTAATGCTGTGTTGGGGCTCTTGCTGTGTTTTTGTAACAAAATATGATAGTTCCTGGTTTAACAGTCCCTTGTAGGTCACTCCCAGCAGAAAGGTAACATCACATGGAACCACAGAATCTATCCCAGTGCAATCAGTTCTCAAACATCCTGTCTGGCCTGAGGCAGTGTGTAGCTTCTTGGGCAAAGCCAAACAGCTTCCAGGCTAAGTGTAGGGATTTCGGGATTCTTCTGAGCAGTTTTGCAACCCCTGACTAATTCTAAGTGAATGTGTTTGGTTTGTCTACCGAGGTAGTTGGTTTCTGCTTTTGGTACTCTTTCAGGTATTACTAGAGAGAGTCTGTTCTGATTTGGTATAGTTTTATTAAAGTGGATATTTCTTAGATATTAACTTTGTTATCTTACATTCTTTAACCTGTGAAATGAAGTTGAGTTTTTCTCTCCGTTCACCACAAACAGTTCTAGAAATAACAATTTCAAGTGTCAGCAAGGGAAATTCCAGCTAAATATGAGGAAAATAATCTGATGACAACAGTTAAGCTTTGGAATATATTGTCTGCAAAGGTTTTGCTGCTGCTAGAGAGGGACCAAAAAACATTAAGAAGCACTTAGGCATAGCTCTGTATGGAATGACCTCTCATGGTCCTTTCTCCTCCTACTGTTGATGAAACAAGGAAAGAAATAAAGTATGCCTCATTCCTTTTCAGCCTCACAGAGGCTAACTTGGATTTCTTTGCTTGTCGAAGCAGAAGTTATGACCCTGACATGCTTCTATTCTGTTGGTGTATTGGTTTATTGCCTGTTCAGTTTGTGTGGCTTTGAGAAGCAGGTTTTGCAATTATATGCAACAAAGATAATCATGATGCTTTGTAGTTCCTTCACTTTTTTTTTTAGACTGACAATGCATCTTTACAATACGAGTTAAATTGTAACGGTCATTCTTACAGGCTTCAGCTGTCATATCCATAAAAAATACACCATCATATGTGAGTCCTCACAGAAATGTAACTGGAACAGAGACAAGTCTTGCATCCTTAAAACTTTGTCTCTCAAGACTCTGATTAGTTGGGGAAAAACACCTCAAACTCTTAACTCTAAGAAGCTATATTGCATTTTCCCTTAAAGTTTATATTATAGGCAAATTCAGGGTTTATCCTTAGAAATTCTTACCTGTGACAGTTTCTCTAAGATGTTTAGTTCACTGGGATGAGGGAATGGTAGTTAAGCTCATTTGACAGAGAGAGCTTTCATATGTCCGAAATCCTAGACTGAAATTCTTCGCACATGTTTATGCATTTTGTGAAATCAGAGGTCTTTGTGCTGTGTTTACTGAACAGCTTTTGTGAGATATAAATACCAGCACATTCTGGTCACATTTCTAACAAACAGAATGGTCTACTCAATCCCAATATGGTCCTGTGTTAGAGCAGATTGGGTAGTACGCTTCAACGATGGGAAATGCATTTAAATTTTATCCAATGGCCTGTACTGTTTATAAATTTAGATACATTGTGGGTGTATAGAAGCTGATTGTATAGCTTTATTCATTACATGCTTTATATCAAGTTTTGGCTTCTATTCTGTTCAATGATTGCACATTAGCATTCTTCTAGATCTTTGCCGCATGAAACTTCCTGCAGAACTAGTTTGAACTAATAACGCCTGCTGAAAGAATATTCTTTCTTCTGTCCCTGTCATTAGGAAAACTTCCTATTGATAGCTGATGATTTTCCAGTACTCTTCCCAGTTCATAAAACTACAAACTGGATGCTCACAGACCAGCCATGTCTCTGAAAAAGCATTCATAGGTGGACAAATAGGGGGCTGATGGATCATTTATGAAAGGCTTCTGATGATTACCTTCTACTTTGGCCACAGGTAGAAGTTTCTTCCGTGTGCTTCTGACTGGTCAGTTGGGTTATCAGCTGACTTGCAATTAAAACAAGGCAATTATTATGTCAAGAGTTCTGGAAGTGATAGTCTAAATTGCACTGACCACAGAATTAGTAGTTTGTGAATTAGAGGCTTGTGGGGGAGGTATTTTCTCTTCACTCTCACTGTCTGCAAAGCACATACTTCGTTCTACTATACTGAGTTTATTTTAGACATGTGGTCTTTGGTATAAAATGCTTTCATTCTGTTTTGTGGATAATCTTCCTTGGAGACGCAGAAGTTGTGCTGCTAGGAAGGGAGGGGGGGACACATCTTTTCTGGTACAGTTAAGGTGGTTGTTTTTGTTGTTGTGAGAATTTTACCAGAAGCTTTAACGGCTGGTAAGAATAGCTGATAAATGAGCTAAGCCAGGTATGGCATAGACCATGCACACAAACACCTAGTGACAAAGTTGCCATCTCTTATTTACCCTTCAGGTTTCACTTTAGGAAAAAAAAAATCCAGTATTCTTCTCTTAAAACAATGAATCTTGGTTTTCAGAGGGTACAGGTGAGCATGGAAGAACAATCTCTCTCTTGCAAGGAAGTTAAAATTTCTCAAGTTGATTACCTTCAATAGCCTTTCAAGTAAGGACTGCTCTCATTACAAGCATTACAAAATATTTAATGTTGCCTTTAAGATTTTATGAAACCAGAATAGTCTTAAAACACTCGTAAGTTTTTTAAGCCTCTTTTAATATGGCTGAAAGCCTGAACCTGTTCATGACTTAAGATTCTCACTTGTTCCCTGATCTAGCAGCAGTAGGAAATAGGAAAGTGGCCACATTGACAAATACTCCAGAATACTGGTGTCAGTTCATGTAGATCACTGACCAAAGTGACTAAATACAAGTGAGAACATTGCTGGTCACTTTAGCTGCCTGAAGGTTAGTGCCATACACATACCTTTGGATACTTAGTCACTTTTTTCAGTGCTGTTCAGTATGCCAGTACTGGGAGAACAAGAGCCTAACAACCTAGCTTTTTGTGCAACAGGAGTAGCATAACACTTGGTTAATAAATTGCCTGTGTAACAGATAAATTGAGACCAAAACGTTCTGTCTTTCTGAATCCTGAAAATGCACTTCAGGCAGAACAGAACTGCTGTTTCACACCATACACTCCAGCAGTTGTTACTTTCTGAGAAGTTTGTAGGAAGGGTGTATATTGTGCCATTGTTACAGGAGAAAAGAAATTGAATGTTAAAGAACATTCCTTGAACTTGTGGCAGTATTACATATCATGCATAGGTTTGTTTTAATGTGTATGTGTAGGTATGCTTGCTTTTTAGTATGTGTATACCTGACAAGTTACGCAAGTAAAGACTTTTATTGACAAATATAGTAATGCAAAAATAAAAATAGTTGTGAGAGAACGATTATGTGTGAACCATATAGCAGAAATGCTGAACCTATGTGTGAATAAGTTACTGTAGAAAACAAAATCTGGTAATGTTTAAATGCATCTCTGTAAAATGGAAAAATGTTTGAGGAAAAAGTAAATAATCTGATATAAACATAAAAGCACCAGCTAATGTAGATTGAAAGAACAGCGTAGGTTCTTGGTATTGTGCATATGTAAACTCATATACATATGTAAATCGTCAGTATTCCAACAGGGAACCTCTTCGCAGTGCTACTTGCTGAGGATAACCAGTATCTAGAGATGATAAGAAACTAATTTGTTAAGCTTCTTTAAATGAGGGAACAGAAGACAGTGAAAGCAAAGACTCTTTAATCTCTCACTGCTTAATGGACTTTGCTCTTACTCCATAGCCTTATATAGAATACATGTGTAGAAAGACCCGCCTTGGAGAAGGGGGCAAAGTATAACATTATTCATAATAAAAGACTAATCACTGATATCATGATAAGTTGTTTGAAAACGTAATTTGCAAACATGAATGTGGCTGTCTAGGGGAAGGTATATGGGGAGTTGCCTTGACAGAATTAAAATTTTCACTATTTTGCATGGCCTCTTTGATCTCTGACACAGAACTTGAGAAAAGAGTAATTGTATTGAGAGGTTAAAACTATAAAATGCAGTCTGAGTCAGAGTTACAATAGTTACCAACATGGTGAGTTGTATGCTACCCTACCACGCACCTACTCAACTCCTCAAATGTTGTTATAATCAAAGAAGTTTGATAGTCTGATATGGTGTTTCCCATTCTGAAGCTGGTACTCCTCTCAGAGAATTAGAAGTGAGAGCAACTCAGGTAGCTGATGGCACAGGATGACTGAGCCCCTGCTTGTTCTCTCAGGAATGCTATGTTCACTTGGCTGATGCACTTTGCTGAGGCACTGATCATTAATCATTCCTCTTTCAACTTTCATTTTCACAGACTGTACATAAATAAGGGGGAAAGACTGAAGTAAAAAAGAGTTGCAAGATGAACGTTTGTGCTTCCTAAAGCCCATTTCTAATACCAGGTAAGTTTTAATGGCTCGGAGCATTTACTGGTTTTAGTAGCAGCATGGAATAGGATTAGCTTTACTTTAGTACAATTAATTCTTGTATTCTATTTCAGGTAGAGGATTGATTGACCAGCTGCTATATTTCCAGTGGGCATGAGTAAAGCAAGGCTGAAAATAGGCAGTTAGTGGAACTGGGTCAAAATAAAAATGCCCTCCTCAAGCAAGCCCAGCAGTTGTGGTTTTAAAATAGTCTTTCTCATTGTGAAATTAAAATTAAAATATACATTTAATTGAAATGTTTCAATTTGGACTTTTCCCAACTTAAAGTATCAATAAAAAGGAGTTACAAAACTAAGCGAACAGCACCCTCCGTCCCTATCAGCAGAAGAATCTCACTTTTTGAAGAGCTTGTCGGGTGTCTTGTGGCCCTCCATTGTATTCCAGTACACACCACAAATCGTACAACACATACAACCAGAAACTCAAATATTCATTGCTTCATGTTAAGGCTCCTGTCCAAATTATTTCTTGTGCTAAATTAACAGTCTTTACTGCAAAAAGGTTTTAAAAGGTAATGAAAATATTTGTGCTTAAATGGGTTACAAAAGCCATAAAACCTTCCCGTAAATGAAAGCTCTTGTAAACAAAATATCGAGTCCTATTTAAAAGAACTGTTTCATGTTGTTTACCCTGCCAAGTTGCTGATGGTGCATAAAGTTGTTCTCTTAATAATGAGTTGGTTAGAGCAACGCCCATCATCCAAAAATGTGTTACCTTGTAGGCGATCTATATTTTAATCAGCTGATGAAACAGATGTGGGAGGATTGTCATGAGTTGTTTCTGAAATCTGAGAGAAGCAAATACAAACCTATGGGGAAAAAAAAAGCCATTGAGTTGTCTTCTTACTTTTTACCTGACCAGGAGAGATCGATTAGAAATGTAAACTTTCACAGAAGTGAAAGTCCTAATTTAATAACTCAAATTGATTAAGTTGTTAAAATGACGTTCTACACAATGTTTTACTTAAGCAAAACCAAAAGCTTGCTGAGTGCATCCATAACATGGAAACCTCCATGCTACCTAAAGACAAAACAGGATAAACTGTACTCACAGCAACAGCTGAAATGTCAGATTTAAATTACAGGAATATAGCAAAATCTAGGTCACTTCAAGAAAGAGGAACTATGGAAAGAACCCTTAAATTTTACGGCAGAAAGATACGTGCTTATAAGTCTTTAACTATATTTAGCCAAATAACATGGTATAAAAGAGAAATATTTAGGTCACAATATGGCAACAACATGTTTCAGTCACCCCTTTTGGATACTGGAACAATGTGGCCACAGGAGCATGAAGCAGGTTAAATTGTCCCTGTTCCAGTTTCTGTGACCAGAGTGAGGCAGCTATTTCAATCTATGTTCTAATCTATGTGTAGCTATAACATACACTGACCAAAGAACTGGCTATCAATTACACTTGTAACTTTAAATTCCTATCATCCTTGGCCACAGAAATCTTACAGCAGTTGAATAATGTGGAGATGCTAATGCATGGGAAATTAAGTAGACCTTGAAGCATTTTTTCTTTTTGATAGGTTATTAGGTAGAAAAAATAGTCTATAAAACCTATATTAGATTTTATTTATGGATGTTAAGAACTTGCCCCCTTATTTTTAGTGGTTTTATATAGTTTTTAATTTTTTTTTAGACAAATTCTGAACACTTTTCTGTGCTATTGGCCTAAGGAATTCAGATTTTCTTTAAAGACAGACCAGCTGTTTCTAGGACAGATTTTTAGTTATGTACAAGTGTAAGCAAAGATAAATAAATGCCCACATCCCTGTCTTGCTCTTCCTAAAGATCCAAGGTACCGACGTTTATTTTAAAGTATGTCACAATCGCAGCTCCTTTATCTCCTTTAATAAAGAGGATTGTTCCTTAGGCAGTCTGTCCAGGGGAGGGAAATGCAAATTGTTGCTTTGGAACTGAAATTTCCTGCTCCTTGGTCCTAATGAATGTAATATCTTTCCTTGGCATGAAATTTCAAAGTATCTAGCTCTGCAGATCAGCTGTTCTGTACTATGTTCCACATGGCTGCAGGCCCTTTTCCTTTATCAGTTTTCTTAGAGCATCACTGAACTATAAATTAGAACTGGCAGCATAATATAAATATCACTGATTACCAGAGGACTTCTGCAGTACCGTGAAGAGAGGAAAGTTTAGCATCATCTTTTGTTATTTATTTTGTACTAAATGCATCGTTGGATACATTTCTGGCTGTAGCATACAGTGTTGTATCCTTGAGTTACTTTTTTGCAGTCAGTATTTGGGAAATGATGACTGGCAATGTCTCATTAAAATGAGGCTTTCACTCTTTAGCATGCTGAATAAGGTCTTTAATGGATAGGAGAAAAGTTGCTCAACGTGTTTGGTGATCAAACAAAATCTTGTGCATAGTATTAATTATCTGAAACAAAGTAAATTGACTGTTAAATAACCTCAATAACTCAAACAGGAAAATGGTTAGAACAAAAGAGTGACTTCTGCTTACACTGCTGATTATTTCACTTCATAGAATGAAATACAATCTGTTGAGCTTTGGAGTTGTTGAAGATACTGACAGCCATCACAAAGTGTCCTTATAAAACAAAGTAATTGTATTCTGTTTTGTCACTCTGTGTACTGTTGTTATACTATAATACAAAGGCTGTTTTTCCCCTCTGCTGGTATAGCAAAAGTAGGTGTATATGTGCATGTTCCTGGACAATTTTAGATTATAAGTTATCCTAGCTGTTGATAATTAGATACAATTCTTGAGTGTAGATTTTTCTGTATGTGTGATAAACCAGAACAGTATGTTCCAAGGATTCCCATTTCTTTTTGAAGGGTATAAACTTCAACTGGTTTCACTATTAATTACAAGGAAACTACTAATGGGATAAGAGAGTTTCCCTTCAAAATCAGTCACCTTATAGTCTGATCAATAGTTAATGCCAGTATAGTAAATTATAGTCTTTGAAACATACCCTAAGCTCTGATTAACCCTTTCTGCTTGTTGAATTTTCTTACTGTAACTTGTAAAGAGAATTAAAATTCTCAAATCACATAAGAAACAGTTCCAATTCAATCTTGCTAGCATTGCAAGGTACCTTGCTAGAATACACTTAAAATATAATACAGCAGATAAAAGTCATTGTGGATGAGTATATAGCAATGCTTATATATGCTATATGAAATGATGGGCTCTGAGCAGCCTATTAGTGCTCTAGTGCAAGACTCTGGTCATGACAGAACTCCAGGAAAACATCAGATTAGTAGCAGTCAAAAAAAGGTAAATCCAACATTAGAAGCTGTTAATAATAGAGAACAAAATAGTAAACATCATTGCACCATTGTATAAATACGTGATTTTTCCACATCTGGAATAATGTGCAATGATCTATTAGAACTGGAAAAGGGTCATGGAAGGGGTATTAATCAACCATGATATACAATAACATTTCTATGAAGAAGACTGAATAGGGCTGCTGGTATTTTTTTCTTCTAGCCTGGAAGAGAGAAGACGTAGCAGAGATAACGTTGTACAGAAGAACTAGGGGCTGTTGAACTAAGAGTCAGAACCTAAAGGAGGTTCTTCATGCAACAGTAACAGATCTGCTGAAGTTCCAGAGGACTTTGTGTGCACGAGAAGCTTACATGAATTCAAGTAGTGTACTGAGAAGTCCATGGATGTGAGACTGGAAGTTATTGGTGAGAGAAAACCATCTTGTCCTTATGAAATACCCACAGTTGAAAATAGTTGGTGAGTGGGAAAGTACTGAGTGAGAAATGTTACACTGGGTTGTCCTCTTCAGACACTTCCGGAAAACACTGATGGTTCTTTAGCATCTGCATCTGTTTGAGATCTAGATTGCGTCTTGATCTGAACTGTCATAGGTGTTCTTATGTTTTTAATTGAAATATAAATAGCCAGGTGGTGCTTTCCTAAAGCAAGATCAAGGTATTTCCTAAGAGGTGGGCTTTTTTCTTGGGTTTTGTGGGGTTTTTTGTTTTTTTCCCTCGTGGGAAATAGGGTATATTGTGATTGCAGAGGCACAAACCAGAAGGGCAAAGATTCAGGCAGTACAAAGAACAACCTGTCACCTCCTCTCTCAGAACTCTCTATCCTGAAGTTTCTGGGGTAATGTGGCAGATGGGGTGCCAGGTGCCACAGAGCCAACACTCCCTCTACACTAGCTAGGTTTTCCCAGGTCAGATCTTTGCTAAAATACTCATCTGGTTTTAATCCTTCCCAATCGTCTCCTGGTGGCTCCTCTATAATCCCCTCTACCCCAGTGTGTTTGCATGGTACATACACAGAAATGTACCTATCAGGAGGTTCAAGCAGGAGATCAGAGACCCTGATGTTCTGGAGTTTTTTGTATGCAGAGCACCTGCAGTTGTTTAATGAAAGAAGAGGTATTAGAGGACAAAAGTTATTCTAAAGTGCTGTTTTATTACACAGTGTAGCTGCTTTGCAGTCAAAGATCACATTCTCTGTTTCCCCAGGTGTCAGGCTGTGTTTGCAGAAGAGTAGATTTAACTTCACTGTTTATAAGCATTTACATTCTTCCCCCCTTCCCTGACCAGTCACTTCTCCATCCTTATATATTCATATTATAAGCAAAGTCTGATTTCTTCTGTCCGATTCATTCTGCCTCTGTGCTTCCAGAAAGGTATTACTCTGTATTCTGCTTCATGACAAATGTTACCTACATATCCACAGAGAACTAAGGGCAGAAAGACAGCGGAGAAGCAAAAGCTTCTGTCTTCTGACGCTCAAATCAGAAAGTGCAGTCTGCCTGTACAAGCAGTTTCATGTAAGGCAGGCTCATGAAGCCTGACCTGCGTATGATAAGCTATGACCGTAACCAAGTAATATTTACTATGAACATACAACTTCTGATTTAACAGAGCTCAGCTTCTTAAAAGACAATGATCTATTTGTGATTTAAACAGCAGGTTCTAGACACTACCTGTCTTGTCTGAAAATATCTGGCTTCATCTTTATAGGCAATGAATGGTGTTACGGTTTGGTTGGTTAAACAAGAGCAGAGCTCTGTAGCCAGGTTGTCCCAGCCATTTGGAATGAGGAGAGAGGCAGTCCTGTGTAAATTCCTTTCTCTGCTAGGTGTTGTCCCATTATCAGCACAGTCTGATCCAGATAGCCCAGGGTTAAGAGGTTAATACGAACAAAGGGACTGCACTGGGCTATCTGGAGCAGTGTCTGCAGACAGGCATCTTCCACCAAACCTCAAGTGCATTATAGCTGTTCCTTCAAAGGGAGGATCAGAAAACTGAAGCCTCTGCTTGCCAGCTGGCTCTGACTTGCTCTTCAATCTCTAATGCGCTCCTTTCACCTGAAAGCAGATTTTTATCTCTGCCTCATCAAGTTGCTTATGGGGTACAGCTGCCTGCCAGTTTGCTGGCTCCTTAACCCTCTCTTCCTCAAACCCTTCAGCTTCCCAACACCATATGATAAATAATTTAAGTATAGACATCAGAATACATTTCCTATAGTGGTCTTCCCAAATGACTATTTTTCTCTCCTATTTTATACCAAAATACAGTTTTATTCCTCCTAGCCACAGTTGTCACAGCAAGAACTCATACTGAACAGGTAGTGCCCTACACGATAAGAGAATGCAGTTATCATTCTCGGTTCGAGATGTACACAAAATTTTGGTCACATTAAAATTCAAATGCTTTGTTTGAGGCTCCTTTCATTAACTGGTACAGATCACTGTGCATATATTACTTACTGTTATTATTTATGACTCCAATAATCCCCACCACATCTATAAAGTTTTGCGGAAGTTATTTTGTATTTGTATTTCCATTACAATGGGATGACTTAGGGCTCGCTTTCTGCTGACCCTTGTAAGAAATTTCCAAGGCACTGTTTATTAAACAGGGTACTGTACTGCATGCAGGTAAGAGTCTCGAGCTGGCTAACCAACAGTGTTTTCCACATTCTATATGCTATAGCATTTTTCTTCCCCTGAGGAGTTTTACAGGAGTTTCTGTAATTTCCTACTGAAGATCAACCAATATGTTATGGTTTGTGTCAAATAGGGCATTGGCTGTTGTACCCATGTTTCATTGCTTTCTAAGAGATGGTCTTTTCTAAATTATTTTGTGAGAAGCCACCAATAGTTTTTTCAAGCTGGTGAACTGGCTTTAAGAGAATGTAGGTTTTCTTTGCATACAGTTCCTTTGAAATCAGCAGATTTACCTCTAATGCATTTTTATACACGTATATGAACTAGATTCTCTCTTTGGGTTTAATGCCTCAAGGAAAAGCAATACTTTTTATAGCTGATGAATATCTCTTTAGTACCTTAAAATACTGAATTGCTGTAGGACCTCATCCTAAGATTCATAGCTGCCCAACTGCCTGTTGCACAGATTTTGTTAGCACTTTTTAATTTCTGGGACAGAGCGTGCAGTGAATGGCCAACGTAATGCCACGTAGAACAATGCAGCTGGTATTGCTCCATTATGTCAGAGGTGTTTTGCTGTAACATGGTCCTTTAGAAACTTGTGACTGTATTGTGTGACTTTAAAGCATAGTGAGCATGTAGGGGGAAACAGACAAAATTAAGAATCTGAGGTTTATTATTAAGGGTAATATTAATTGCACAAGATTCTACAATTATGTTATTGCTACATTTCCTTGGCGAACCAAGTTAACTTCTCAGTTAGGGCTTGCCTGATGCAGCCAGAGGAACCCAAATCAGAATATGCTGGATTGAGAAACCAACTGGAGTTTCACATTCTTCTGCACGGACTTCGGGTAAGCAACCAACTCCATCCTTTCCACGTGAGCGTTGTTGTCCATCTGTAACGATGGGTCCGGTTGCCCAGGACTGCCTGTCCTGGGCAGAAATGCACGCACTGAGGAAGCGGACGCGTGTCGCAGAGCGCTACCGCTGCGGGCAGAGTTTGCTGCACGGGGGGAAGGCGAGGGAGGGCTCCTGCAGATGCGAAGTGCTCTGCGGGTAAGTTCACAACCTCCTGAGAAGTATTTGAGTAATTAAGTAACAGATAACTATGTATTTACACTCCCGCTACACACGCTGTCAACACATTCGTAACAACGGGCATCCTTACACAGCGTTACACTGTATTTTCCCCTACTTTCTCCATTAGCGAGGTTCCATCACGGTGCTGTACCCGAAGCCTGGAACCCAGGGCGGCATCTGCTCCTCCAAGTCCTTCTCCAGGCAGGACCCGAAGGCGGCAGAGGAAGGTGCAAAGCAGCCGTGGGACCCCTGCTGCCACCCCAGACCCGACCCGTGCTGGGCGAGAGGCAGGCCCCTGCTCCCGCGGTGCTGCTCCCGGCCCGCCCGGGTGCGCTCCCGGCTGGCCGCCTGCCCGGGGAGGGGGCGGTGGCCGCGGGGCCCTGCCACCCGGAGGTGTGTCCCGCCCTAGGCGCGGCTCCCGCAGGTACTAATCGCCGCGCTGCCCCGGCTCCCTCCTGCACTGCAGCCCGCTTCCCGGAGCCCGCGGCCGGGATGTACGGGGGGCAGCAGCAGCTGCAGCCCCTCACGCTGCCCCCGCACCTCCAGCAACAGCAGCAGCAGCACCACTACTACCGGCGCCAGCAGCACTACAGCACGCTCCCCGCCCCCCGGCGGCCCCTCTCCTGCCCGGAGCCGCCGCCCCGGCCCCTGCCCTGCCGGGACCCGCCGCCCTGCCCGGAGCCACCGCCGCCGCCGCGGCCCCCGCCGTCCCGGGACCCGCCGCCCTGCCCCGAGCCTCCGCGGCCCCTGCCGTGCTTCGATCCCGCGCCCCACCAGCAGCAGGACGGCAGCGTGGCGTACGACCGGGTGCGGACCTACGGCCCCGGCTGCCGGAGGGTGAGCACGTCCTGCTCCTCCCGGGCGGCCTCGCCGCTGGAGTGCTCGCACGGCTACCAGCAGGTCATCGCCGGCTGCGACCCGCCGCAACAGGTACGGCGTGCGCCGACGGGCTTCCCTTACCCTGCTGCCCCTGACCTGTCTGCGCTGGTGTCCCGTTCCCGCCGGGGCTGGGGTTGGTGTGAAGCCAAAGCCCGCCCGGGGTGCAACAGCGGCGGCGGGCCGTGAGCCAGACACCTGTGTGCCGGCGGGCACGGAGGAGCGGGGAGGCCGCGGGGCTCCGGGGTGCTGCACGGCCAAGAGGAGGGTCGGGACGGGACCGCCGGGGAGGGGGAGTGAGGCCGGGCAGTGCGGAGTCGTCTTCCTTCAGATATAGCGGGGGCGACTCGTCCGTGCCCATGACTGGCTCCAGAAACACCCGCCACAGCACCCCGTGTGGGGACGGCCGCTCCTCCGCCTCGGCTGCGGCGGGGAGGCCCGACGTGGGCCCCGCTGCCCTGAGGGTAGGGCCAGGCCCGGCCGCGCCCTGCGGCCACCCGGGAGCGGAACGGGTCATCCCCAGACCTCCCCGGGACCTTGCCTTTAGCTCTTGCTTCAGGCGGGCGAGGAAAGCTTCGCTTCGCACAACCATAACCCGTCTGAATCTAGAACTCCTAGCGTGAGTGTCCCTTTAAATTTCTCCTTTCCAGTTTGATTGTCAGTCCCGTATTTGTTCCCTGTTAGTTTGATTGTCAGTCCCATATTTGTTTCCTGTTTGGCAAGTCCAGTTCGCATTTACGTTTTAATTTGAACCCTTAAACACCTTATTCTGTTGCGATATTTTTTCCCATTTTGTCAATGGGATGCTAACACTGAGGCCCATGCTGCTGCTCCTGCAGGCTGAGTACTCCTGTTCCACCGACGGGATGTGCACGAGGCCACTTACTTGGTGCTACTTGTGTAAATATAATATAAAGGCATGTGTGCTTAATGGTTGTGTTTGAATCAATGATGCTAATAACCTATGCGACTGTGCAGGTAGGAAGTACGAGAGTTCATTTAGTTCTGCTTTAAGTCTGCACAATGTAGTTCAGCAGGTTTGGTGCTGGGTGCATGTTCAAGGAATGGCTTGAAGGTATTAATGGAATTTAATGTAATTTTAACGTGTGTGATTTGGTATCAGAGCTAAATCTTAAAAATAAAACTAGAAACCAGTAACTTAAGAACTGCTTTAAGTATAGAACCAGAAAAGATCAGAATTTATTCTTACACCATTTTTTCCTCTCGTACATCAGACAGTTGGTAGAAGTGGAGCTGGTGTGTTGTACTCGTTATACTCAATATGGCAACACATGTTTGTTTCGGGTTATACTCTCATTTAATTTTCTTTCCTGTAGTATAAAAATATTTATCTATGAAAAACGGGGATTAAGGTCAGTACAAAATCAGATTTCCTTTCAAAGCTATACTCATGTAGTTCAAGGGCTGCCTGCCTCTCAGGATGCCTTCTGTAGATTCTGGAAAGTGAGCCACTTCACTAATTGCTTTTATAGAGTTGGATATGACAGGCACAGTCCTGCTGTATCAAAGCTGCTAATCCCTCTTTTGCAGGATGCAGGGCAGGAGTGTAAACACTGGTCTCTCACCTCCCAGATAAGTGATCTGCTCAACTAGGCTAGATGATAGTCTGAATTGCATTCAATTAATTAAATATTCATTAGAATAAATACTGCAGTCCCAGGCTTCCTCTACTTAGATAAGTACGTGAACAATTTGATTATAGACTCAACTGCTGTCTCTGCTCTATGAAGTATATTTAATTTTCAACATCTGTTTTAGTCACTGAATCCATTAAGTCCTGCTAATGAAAAATAATTTGCTGAAGTGTTTTACTGGATTAGACTTTAAAGACAAAAGAGGGTGTAGTTAGATCAGGCTGTGGGTTGCAGTTTTAATGGTGGAGAGGGAAGGTGCCTCATAGAGATTATTAGGAAGTTATTAAAGAAGAAAACAGCGAACAGGGAAGTTGGCTGGGAGTAGGCAAGTTGCATACTTGGTGCTGAATGGGAGTTGTCAGAAAGAAGTGCAGGGAGGAGTACAGGAAGCTTCAGTTGCCCTTTGAGCACATCACGAATAGCTGCATAAACTGAATAACATGATGGTACCAGACTCGCACACGGGTTTAAGTGAACACTAGAATTCTCAGTTTATGGCAGGCTAGAGCTGTAGTTTCAGCTCCTTACTGTTGATAAGGTGAAGAGCAATCTTTGAGCAATATTTAATTTACTTTTGCAGAGCTATAGTAGGTTAATGATAACAAATGTCTACATCACTGTCGATACACTGTTGTCTTATTTAGTCATATGATGTGTTCTGGTGTGCTTTGTGTATGTTTGTAATAAGGTAGAGGGAGGGAAAATCTGAAACTGGCGTGTGCAAACAGTACCCGATTGTATTTTTTTGTAGTAGGATTCAGTTTTCTTTACTTTTTTGGTCTAACTTTGTTTTATCCTTGATGTAGAAGCCAAATGCTGTTCCCAGCCATGACAAGCTTCATCTGGAGTAATTCACGGCAAATTTTTCTCTCATCTGCTTGATCTAAGTGAGGAATGTTGTTTAGAATAAATTCTCCTCTAGCATGGCTTACCCGTATGACCCCTTTCAGTGTGGTCATAAAAGATGATGCATGAAATGGCACACACAAGATGTCTGCTGTCAGTGCAGAGGGCGGAATCCTGAAAGCCTTCGTAGGAGTTGTCTACCCATGTGAGAAAATCTGTGAGCAAGATCTTTTCATGGCTGGGCTCTGTTCTGTGAAGGGCTCTCGCTTCCCATTGTGGAAATGGTATAATATTAACCAGCTTGTAAGATCTGTATTGTTGGAAACAGCCCTCAAAGGTAGCCTGCCATTTCCCTATTTCAGCTGCCAAATGTGACTCATAAATTCTGATGGGATTGCTGGTAATTAACAAGACAATATGTTATGGGTGAAAGGTTTTGACGTGGATTAAATTCTCACCTTAATCGTTGGTTTGTCTGAAGCTAAGGGGAACTTGTTGAAATGCGACTTAGTGTACTCCTTTGGTTTTGTATAAAACGTGTACACAATAACTGGATAAATCTATGGAATGCTTATTTTAAAATTGAAATATTTAAAAATCTTAAAGACTAACAAAAATTGTTATTAAAGTATTAGCATATACCTTTTGAAATTATCTTTATAAACATAGGCCCAGATCAGGCTGCTGAAAATCCCAAACCCAGTCACTCCGCTGAAATCTACAGCAACACTGTTATGCTGGGCTTTCCACTTCAAAATCCCAGCCTCCTCTTCCTTCTCCCAGTTGCACAACATTGCATCTCTGTAGTGTTGTAGGGAACTTGAGAGTAGCCTGAACTGTGCCCCTTGGGAATGATGGAAAAATGGAAACAGCCCGAGGTCATCTTCAGTGGCAGTGTACCTCCTGTGGCACACTTGTTGCTTCAGAGGCCTCAGAGGTGGCATCTCCTGGTGAGGAGCAAGGGACTGTGTGTGGGTACTTCAGGCTGGCACAGTCACAGGGTTTCTGGCTTCTCGGTTCCCTCCCAGCCTATGCAGGTCCAGCCTGCTTGGCTGGTAAGGGAGGAAGGGCAGGCAAATCCATGTTTATGAGGGAGCGAGGGAAATGTATCTGCATCAAAGTCCTTTGGAAATGAGAGTTTGGGTATCTTAAAAATAAGCATGATTTTATCCAAGCAAAACATTGGTCCTATGTAATATTCCACATATGATTAGACTATCCTTTTGAATATTATAAAAGTATGTTTTAACTTAAAATGCTCTGATCTTCTCAGTTCTGAGTGTATTCCTCTGAGAACACATAGGTAACTAGATAAAATAGCTTTGAGCATTATCCTCTCTAAACTAGACTGTGTGAGTTACATATCCCAAAGCCCTGTGGCAGGAGGATTTAGTTCAGGCAGGTTTGTCCAACTTTTCAGTAGATTTAAGATGTGTCTTTTGATTTCGTGCACAGTGCTCATCTTGTTTTCATGTGCCATACCATAGTACTCAACTCTGAATAAGAATTATTACCACGATACTCATGTCGCAGCACTGGAGTGCTCCAAGATGACGCCTTCTGTGAAACTGATGTGAAGGAAGCACCAGTGGGCATTCATTCTTTTTAAGTGTTTTTAGCTCTAATTCTGTAGGTGTCTCAGTGATGTAGGGGTTGGGCTGTATGTTCTGAACCTCCCTGATGTTTCTTTTTGGGGTTATGTCCTGATACAGAGAGTTCTGTTGGCATTGGTGGGTTCCTTTCCTTGACAGACCCACCTCAGGTACATGGTGTCTTGGGGAGGCAGCAAGCAGCTTTCCAAGTTCTCTGCAGCAGTTATGATTTTAAGATTTCTTAATTAGTGTGATTGCTGCTGAAACAGGTTCTTTTCCACTTTGATTTCTCTTTCCTGGTGCTGTTATGATTCACTCTTGGGAGATTGGGAAAACCACTTCAGACTTCCTAAACTGCAACAGTTCACAGCTGGAAACTTGACCTACTTCAGAGGTGCTGTTATCCAGTTAAGAATGTCTCCGAGACTGAACTGCAGCAATATAAACTTCCCAAGCACTGTCCATGCGTTAAGGGAAGAAATGATTATTATGAAAACTGGAAGTTTGTGCTGTGGGGAAGAATAACTGGTGTGGCGTGAACTAACAAATGGCCCAGTCGTTAGATTAGATTCAGTGGGAATTTTGCTTACTTGGATTGAAGAACTGGATGTGGGGATGTCAAGCAACGTGCACAATTTGGTACAACGTGGTAGTCCACAAAATGGAAGACAGTGTCTGTGATTGCTTGTAGCCAGTGCTGGGGGAAAAAGTGTCAAAATCTATTTGAAAATGAACCAAACTGCTGTCACTTGCAGATCCCTGTAACGTAAAAAGACATATTTCATTTCTAATTGAAGAATGTGCAAAATGTTCCATGTGGGCATCTTTTTTTCATAGGTGTCAATTGTGGAGTTTTGTGACCACTTTTAGAAGCAATTGCCACTGCTGGGTGCATTCGGTAGTGGCCGATGGGATATGCTGGCAGTGCCTCAGCCCTTTCAGTTTGGTGTTTAAGCAAAATACAGATTTTCTTCCCTTACTGAAACGAAAAAAAAAGAGTGTTTAAGGTGTGCATCCATTTATAGCAGCTGACCTTGATATGTAGCTGTAAAGACTGTCAGTAAAAGACAGTAGCTGTGGAACAGGGACATGAGATTCTTGAAGACCTAGTCCGATATGCCAGCTTTGATTTGTTTCTTGTTCGGTTGGCACTTAGAGAAAATAAGGACTTAGTCCCTCAAACCTGCAGAGAGATGAGTGAGAAAAACCAGACTCTTAAAACTGAGAGCAACAGGTTGTGTACTGCCACCCTGTACATGGCCTGCTTCCTTTGGGGTGGAAAGGCCCTGGCTGTAAAACTTTCTAGGCGATTTTGGCCAGTGGATCTCTGTGTTTATAGCAGTAAACACAGATGACAGTATTCAGGTTACTGTGGAATCCACATAAGGCTGAGCTCTGAGCATAAAGATGTTTTAGAGGTTAAAGTGCAATCATCACAGAATCTTTGAATTTCTTTCTCGCAGGGCACTTTTCGACGGATTATTATTGAGAATCCTGATCAGGTAAGAAAACTGTTTCCTGCTGGAGTTCTACTTGTGTACCTCTTCCTTCCTTAGTCACCCTGATCTGGTGAAGTGCTCAGCTACGTCCATCAGGGGATGCTAAATATGTTGAAATACATGGCCCATACCGCTGATGGTGAGAGATTAAATTATAGGGATTGAAAACACTACAGAATTGCTAGTCAGGCTTCCGAACTGTCAGCAGTGAAGTCTCTTAACATGCTTCAGTAATGTTGCTAGCGGAGATGAGTTTCTAAGTGTTTCTACTATGCTTATTTCAAATATTGTCTAGGTGGAAGCACAGTCACTTTGTTTCCAAATGGACGTACACTCAAATGTACATATCCTAAAGAGCTATCTCAAAGTGTCCATGTCTTCAAATCACAAAAAATCCCTTCTCACGTTTTAGTCAAAATTGCATTAATCCTGAATTTTCTGTTTGATGTACATGAATGTTTTAAAAAATGTTTTGCAGGAGCCATTATCCCCGTTTCTTAGAGGGGCAAATTTCTCTCCTGGAAATAATGTCATCTATGAAAAGACAATAAGAAAATATGAGCTATTAAATCCTCTCCAAGTAAGTTGGTTGTTTATATTATCTGATGCAAAAGAAAATTGCACTGGTAGCAGGAATATGATGCTTCTGGGATGGGGCTTTTTTGGGGTGGTTTTGGTAGGGTTGTTTTTTCCTCGTTGAGGTCTAGGACACAGTCTCAAAGCAAATGAAGCAGTTTCTGTAAGGAGAGCAGGAGTTGGAGTGTTGCTGTATTTTTACTAAGAATTTATTATTTCAGACGAACAATGAAAACTGCTGTTGTACCACCTGTATTGTCAGTCAGATAAATCTGAAGATTGACTGGGAGTTAGTTACTTGACTGAGAGTTAGTTACTTGACTGGGAGTTAGTTACTTGACTGGGAGTTACTTGCAGTAGCTCCACAACAGAACCAAAAAAAAACCCCAAAATAATTGAAAATACACATTATTTATTATTTGTTTTTACTCATTCTTGAAAAAATGTATTTGGCAAAGCTGTCTGAAATTTCATCTTAGTCCAACTGGAGTTCTCTTTCTAATCTCTGAAATACTTAATGAAACAGGATGTGTGATCTCAAGTAAATAACGGAGGTCCCCATTGCCTGAATATGGTACGAATAACAACACAATGAAACAACATAGGAAAGGTCTCGTGCTTTTCATTTGCAGTCACTAAAATTTGAGGAGTTAGTGAATTACTGGTTGTAATTCACCAGTTTCGTTACAATGACAGTGTGAGGCAAACTCTTGTTCAGCTAGGAAAAAAAGCACCTTTATCAGGCTTATTAAAATATGTGAAGCTGTCATTAGTTCTTCCATGCAAACCCACATTTCATTCATTTATATACTTATGTGAAGCTTCCATGTGATTAGGACAATGTCCATCAGCTTAAAACAATCCATTCTTGTTTCCAGGAGAAGCAGTATCAGTTCTCCCGCCAGTGCCAGAGTCCCCAGCAAGTGGAGCAGTGCCAGGCTGCCCAGCCCTGCCAGTACTCTGAGCAGTCCCAGGTCACTCACCAGTGCCAGCAGACACAGACCAGCAGCCCTTGTGAAGTAATTCCAGTCTCCGTCAGCGATGACTGCAGAGGAAATACAGTGAGGAGGGTGACAGTGCAAACCTGTGAGCCGGTAAGAATCACCTGCTGAATGTTCACAGTGTATTTTTGTTTTGTATGAAGAGTATAAAACTTTACAGATACATAAAATTGCTAATCTCCAATCTCAGAAGCTTTTGTTCATAGTAGGGTAATTAAGCACCATACAGCCATTGTAAGTGAACAGCAGAGTTCAGGTATCTGTTGCAGGTAACTTCGTTGTACACTGTGGTTGCAGGTGTTGTCTGGAAATGTCCAAGGCTTTGACAGATGATGTTAAGAGGAGAAAAGGGCTGCTTTAAGTGTTTTGTCTATTTCTTGTTGGCACCAAGCTGCAGTTAGGAGTATTGACCAATCATTCTGTGGTCCTTTTAACTCTGTTAAGTCTTGCTGTTTTGTTTCGGTTTTTTCTTTATCTGGGGGTGTTACCCATTGATTTAGTCAGGTTTCATCAGTCCCTGTACAACAAAGACTGAATAATGTAAGGCTTAAGCCTCTAGTTTTGGAGAAAAAGTACATTAGTTTATAAACTTGACATACATCAATTCAAGATTGTTTCTGCCTAAACTGATCAGTAAGGATTTCAAATATATTTCAATTTGCTGTACAAGTATTTGACATAGATTCACAGGAAGCACAAAATTACCTTCCTCTGCCTTTCATTTTGCATGAGGTTGCAAGTTCTGGAGTTTCTAAGGGCTGCAGCAGGCTTGCTATACATGTGTACTGTTGTTTCAGTTGGGAAGGGAGTGTAGCTGTCCTTCCTGTGCACCTACTCAATAAACAGGTGGCAAGACAAACATATACTTGGTGACCTCAGTGCTAAACCTCTGTGGAATCTTCCATAGCCAGATACTTCCATAAGCCAGCATAGGTACACTCAGTTCTGGTTGCTGCTGGAATCCTTTTACTGTTCACATACATTAACATTTGGACTGTGGCAATACAACTGCCATTTGCACAGTGGGGAATCTGGCACCCAGCTGGGTTTATCTGGGTGCTGCCCACAGACATTCATCCACTGCAGCCAGGGAAGCATGTATATTAATGAGATTTCCTAATTCTCAGCACTTTCCATATTAGCATAATGATGACACTGCTGCAGAAGATGCTACTCTGCGTATTTGTTGGTGGTGTAAAGGAAGCTATTTGTTTCTGTAGAGTTTACTGAAAACCAGAAGACATGGAAGACTCAATACCAAGGAAAAGAACAGTGTAAACAGATTGCTAATTGTTAAGAGCAAACAAAACCAAACCCTGTAGCATGTTCATGTTCAGCTTTCATCCCAAAGAAGGGAACTCAGTTGTGACGTTTTTGCATATCTCCTGCTAGGTGAACTGTGCTCAGGAAAATAATGACCAGCTGGACTGCCGCTACTTCGGTGAGCTCCTGGCTGAGCTGCACCGCAAGACCAACGACTTGCACAGTTGTTTACTGCAGCATGTGGAAAAGATAGGAGGAAGGTATTGGCATTGTATCTGTTCTGTTATTCCCCTGTTCCCGAGAGCCTGCCATTGCACAGCTGAGAGGACAGTATTGTTTGCAAATGGGGTTTTTTTCTTCCCTGATGAGTAGAATTGACTGTATTTTACATACTCATCTAATTTGCTGAGTAACTGAGGACATACAAATGCTGTAAGCCAAGTAAATGTATTGAATTTGATGCTTTTCCCAATTGGTTAGACTAATAGGCAGTAAGAATTAGGCATGGCTGTTTGCACATAAACAAGTACACTTAACAGCATTCTCTGACATACATTTAATGATACAATTCTATTCCTGTGTCCTGAAGAAACAACCCAAATGTCCAGATTGCCATTTCCTTTGCTGTGCCATGTTGTTATGTTATAGCATGGATTATAAGGCAGTCCCTATAAGGCATAAATCCAGTGTGTTTATGCAAATTAAAGTTAAGCAGGTATTCTGCAGAGCCCTGCACATTGTCTTTAAGAAGAAACACAGCATCACAGCAGCCAGTAATCTGAGCTTGCACAAAGTTCTTACTTCTCCCTCACAACTACTAGTTCATTCTTCCCCCTCACTCCCAGTCTTGTTTGGTGCTTTCCAAGGTCACTTAAATAAGAAAAGTGGGGAAGAATGGAATTTAAACCACACACAGACCCTGACACTGCAATGTAAACAGTTCAGGCATGTCAGTATGTTGCAGCATAGTTCTGGGTAAACCATTACCCAGCCAATTAAGACTGTAATGGGATTAACTGAACACAACTGGGGTAACTACGCAGAGAAAGGAGGTAGCCTGTGTTAACTGTACTACTGTTAGCAGTCCAGTTTCCTCAGATAGTTCTATGTGGAGTTAGGCACCTCATGTTGCCTAACACCTTAGAAGGAAGGTAACGGCTCTTAATCTGGCAAAGAACCTTCCTTGCTCTGTATTTTAAAGATAATCCTTGTACAGTTGTGAATGTGGACTTGAATAAATGTCTCAAGAAGCTTTCTGTTAATTGGTCCCTTCGATTTTGTCTGTTTTACAGGAACCATGACATTGAATTTACGTGTCAGGTAAGCATCAGGCATGCTCTTGGCAAGCTCTTCCCCAACAGTGTTAAAAGCAGCAGTGTGGATCCTGAAGCAAATTAGGCCCAGCCAATTTAAACGAAGGATGCTGGTCTTTGTCAGTTAATGATCCCTGCTTGTTAATAACATTCAGAGTCTGAATCCTACAGCAAGACACATATTTGCAAATGTGATAACACTGAAATTCTGGTAATTTGCGTTATTCCAGTCTGAGAGTCAAATTCTGAAAAGTCTTTCCTGTTGTGCCTAATGGTTTCATTGTAAAACAAATTCTCACAGCCACACGTATTTTCACTACATGTGTTTTGCAAAGCAACTTTCACTGTCTTGCCAGTAAAGCTGCAGCTCAGGAACACACGCTGCCTTGCTCTGCAAGGAGTGAAGACAGTGCCTCTCACAGGAACGAGAGGAATGTGAGCTGCCAGAACAGGCTTCCCATCTACAGCAAGCTTCCTTTTACCAGTCAGGCCACAACAGACTCGTCGGCACCTCTGTTACGTTGTTAAAGGCATTGTGTGCACAGCAGAAATATTTGTCTAGGACGAAATCACATGAAGCAGTGTCTCCTGTGACAGGCTGCTCATCTCTTCTTTATTGACAGTCTGTGCAGGAGAAACGCAAGGTTTGCTCCTGTCCTCGACTGCTGGGAGTTCTGTTCTAGTGTCACCTCCTACTCCTGGAGAGGATTATTTTGAATACTGCTTGTAGAATAAATGTTACCCTTAGTGATTTGAATGTATGCTGCATGTATCACTTCATCTCGGGTTTTATCTGCCACACATATATATGGCTTTAGAAATTTTCTGGATACACTTTGATCTATTTTTGTTCTTATTTGCCTTGTACTAAAGATCTTTTTCATAGAAGAGCTGTGTAATTAATGAAGAACCCACATTGTGATCTTACAGGCAAAATTCTTAATCAAGATGTCTCCCCTTTCCTCCCTTCTTTGCTTAGACTGAAGATATTGAAGAATTAATTCCCAAAGGACTCTCTGAGGCAACAAAGCAGCAGATTCGTTATCTCCTCCAGGTACCTGAGTGGGGTGGAGGGTGTGTGTGGACGTCTGTAGTAACTTGAAACAATAGAAGTTGGCTTACACATACCAGGGACTTTATGTAACACACTTAACTCTCTATTCTTATTCACTTTTTCCTAGTGTAAAGAGCATGGAATCATACAGGTGGCTTCAAGTGATGTTGTAGCAGTTGGTTCCACTTGCTTACTTGCATATTTTAAACTGAGCTTTACTGGTGCTTTCTTCCAGTTTCTCTGGAAACCATCTTGGCTTTTAATCAGTCACAGGAGAACACAGACCTTTAATCTTTTAGTTATTACTGCTTTACTTTAAAAGCTAAAGGCAAGCAGTAGGTGCTGAACGTTGTATTTGGTATTGGTTGCCAGCTACATACAATGCTTGTAACTCAGGTCTCACCTTTTACCAATATCCTGGTTAAAAACCCTCTAACAGATCGCATTGTGCTGAGGCACACTTACGACATGCAGTAGCAAACCAGAACTCTTTCTGGCATGGTTACATTTATAAAGGCTTTTGTTTCTTCAGATCTTGTTCTTTAGCTGCCTTACCATTACCTGCCTTTGCGATCACCAGCCACATTAAGGCAGGCAGATGAGTTCTGGTAATGGCTGCTTGTTTGTTGCCTCCTATCACTGTAGTACTCTACAGTATGGTGGTTAGTACAGCACTGCGGGTGTGTTTATACCTGGCCTCCCTGAGGTAAGGGGGATGTGTGCTCTGGCTTCACATCCAAGAAGGACTCTGAGCTCTGTCAGACTGCTCAGGGAATGATTATGTGGGGTATGCCCAGAGGCTCATGTCTAGGAGCACAGAGAATTTCACTGTAGGAGTACATGAATTTAGCAACCTCTGACACTTACTAATTGCTGAGTGGGGACTTCCTGATACTTTTCATAGCCTAAACTCAACCATTTTGACTTAATTTCTTCTTTTAGTCTACTCTTAGAGTGTATTTCACAGTAAAACCAACTAAACTGAAAGTCAAAGCTGAAATTCCATTTTAATTAAATCCCGAACAAATGGGTGGGTTACACTGGAAATGTTATTTTTTTGACACTTTAGTCACATCATAGGGATATGGGGATAAAAAAGTAGGACATGGGCTCATCACTGTATTGATGGAGATCTTGATGGCTCTCCTCAGCCCAAATTATCACCAGACGAAGTGGAGGGAGAGAGTCAGAGGAAAGGAAACGGGCAGGAAGATTTCACTTTTGTCCAGGTAGTAGAAAAATCATTTGTTTGCCTGGAATGTTCAGCCCTTCCAGATGAGTCAAAACTTGGGGAATTCCTTTGTGTGTTCTTTCAAAACCTGTTATTATTCTTTCAAATATCATAAGTGTGTCAGGAAACACAACCGTCTGTGTTTTAACGTGAATCAATACACAGCTGTTTACGTGCATGGAAAGAAAATCCAGGAACAGGGTTAGGCTGCTGTGCACGACTGCCCCTCTTCATCCAGTCGCCTCCTTAATCTTTGGCATCTTTTTCCTTTTGAAGGGAGGAGTTGGTTGTATGGCTTTTATTTAGATTTTGTACAGTTTTAATTAAATTCTTTTGCCCCTGGCTGCAAGCGCTTGGCCAGATCGCGGGTGCTGCTGCTTCCTCTGTGCTTTCTCAGGTGGGGTAGAGCACTACTGCTACTTTCTTAGCATCCGTCACAAATGACTGTGCAATATAACACGTTTGTGTTTCCCTGTGTTGCTGTACAGATGCAGTTCTTTACTCTCATGTTCCATTTTAAAAACTTTACCCTGTGTTACAAGGCAGCAGTGTAAAACCTGTGCCTTTTGCAGAACAAACTGCATGAAAATGGGCTGCTTTGTAGCAACTGGGGGCACGCTGCAGTAGCTCCAAGAGTAGTTGTTTTCAGTTGTGCAGCATTTTCTGTTCTACCTTGTCAAGCATATTGTAAACAAAGCTGATCCATGAATCCATTTCCATTTTCCCCCTCCTAGATGAGAGTCACATCAGATAAATCTTTGAGACTTGTGCTTTCCACTTTCAAGAATCTACGTGAAGAGCTTTGCCACCTGCAGGATGACTTGGGGGTAAGGCACTTTTGGAAATGGCTGGTTCATTACTGGGCTTGCAAGACTCGCTCAGTGGATGGGGTGGATTTCTTTCTAGCAGTGGTCTTCAGCTGATCAGTCTGAAGCCTAAACCCACCAAATACTTTCAAAGAAATGACCCTGCTGAGTGAAATCAGATTTAAAGCTCTGAATTGTGATCCACACTGGTGTTGTGATGGAACTATAGTTTTACTTTAGACCTGGGTAAGGGGTGGACACCAAGTGGCTATTTACTAGCGCTGTTCCAGGAATCAGGGGACCTCAGTTCCATTTACCCTGACAGAGTTGCATTTCTCACCTTATTAGAAAGCTGGTGTCAGCTCATGGCATTAACAGCTCCAGTGATTCACCTGGGTACAGGCTTCCCACCTGGAAGCTGGAGCTCTATGGCCACACATATGGTAGACAGTAGATAATTGCTGTTAGGAAAGCAGAAACCTTTCCCACACTAGCCCAAGTACTCAGCCCCACTGGAAACATGGAAATGCCAAGTTTAGGGAGGGGAGTTTTAACTGTTACCTTTAACAGAGGACAAGGAGTTTGTACAGTGAAGTGGTTTTGGATTGGGGTTTTTCATTGGTTTCTGTGATTCTGTAAATACCTGAGTAATTCTGTCTGGGGCAGACTGAAAGAGCGGGGTTCAGGATCCCAGTGCTTACCACAGCACACAGCCAGCTACTGTAAGTGTGCGATGTAGTTAAAAACCCCCATTGTTTCAAGAAAATGGAGTATTTTCTTACTTACCAACTGCTCAGTATGTTTCACTTTGAATACAGGGAAAGTTTACTAAACAATTACAGCTATTGACATAAATGCTTTTGTCTTGCAGAAGTTAGAAACTGACAATGTGTTACTTAAGAAGGATTTGGCTTTTAAAGATTGTCAAGTAAAAGAGTATGAAACTATGCTGGCTTCTCTGAGAGAGAATAATCGTCAGCAGCAGGTAAGTCTAAACCTGTATTTTCAGTGTCATTAGTCAGCTAAAAACTAGCCAGTGTTTGGCTGTTGAGCATTCCAAGTAATTGGTGCCTGGTACCTGTTGGGGTGCGCATGTCATCTGTTACTTCCTTAAGGAACACTGTGCCCTCCTCCCATTTCTGTGCTTTCCAGCAAGGACTCAGAGAGAGTACTGCAAAGTGTCGCTCTCTGGAGGAACAGCTCCTCTGCCTTCGGCTCAGTGAGGGAGAAAAGGATTGTCAGCTAAAGGAGCTGGAGTTCTGCAAGCGTGCCTTGGAGCAGGAGATTCAGAGCCTCAGGCTGCAGGTAACAGGCTCACTTGTTCTGTGTCCAGCAGCTGTTATTCACAGGTACAGATGCATTAATATAGGAAAATTAAAGATGAAAGCTCTCTTTTAAAAATGAAATACAATCTCATTTTCTGCAGGCCTGCTCTAATCCAACCTTGCAGACCACCACGGATGAACTCTCCAGCCGTTACGTAGAGATGATCAATAACTTGAGGGAGGATAAAGATCGCGAGATCCGCAGCCTTAGGGTAAGTTGTTTAGCTTGGCACATGTGTGCTCCTCCCCCTGTACACCTGGAATTGAACAGCTTCACTTTAGATTAAGGAGTGGGAAAAATCAACCAGGTATCTTTTGGTTCAGCAATTCCTTTATACACACTCATGACAGTTCAGGAACCCTTATGGATCACATCAAACTGTAATGTAAAAATCAATACAGTTTCTTAGATGTAGAAAATAGGGATTAATCAGGTAGGAAAGATTGCCAAAAGGGACATTTTGAGTGTCCTGGTAAAGTAAGACACTAAAGAAGAGACACCGGAGAGAAAACAAAACTCCCAGCCAAACCCATAAGTAGGAAGTGTCTCTCACTTAAGTCCTTACAGTAATAATTTACCACCCTAGCAGCCAGTTCCACTGGTTAAGTGCTGTATGAACCCCAGTTATAAGGCTGTTAAACTCATACTGGGTAGAACTCAGTCAGCATTTCTGGATTTACAGTGCAGCTCAACATTCTCACTTGACAATCTCTGGTTCTCACTGTTCATGGAGCTCATGAAAATTATACACCTGGAGCCCTGGATACTCCTGCCAGGTGACCTGCAAGTAGCTCCAAACACCTGACTGTCCCTCAACACGTGTTTTGCAGTCTCAGTTATGCCAATTCCAGCAAGACATATCAAGGAGAGAAGGAAGCAACAGTGACTTGCAAATACGGTTGCATGAACTGACATCAATGTTGGAGGAGAAAGATGCTTTTATTAAACAACAGCAAGAGGTAAAATAACACAAGATTTCTCTTTTAACAATTTCTGTATTTAAGCCTTTGCTTACTGCATAGGTGGAAGCATGCCAGAAGCCACCAGTGCTCTCCTGCTTCGGGAATCGGGGTTAGGATATTTACTGCTGTCCCTCTGCCAGACTTTTGGCAGGACAGACATTTCTGATTGCTCTTTGAGATGAATTTCTGCAAATTCTTTGTTGTGACTTTAGGGAATGCATCAGGAAACATGACTGCATCTGAATGCTTACTTTTGGTTTTCTCAGGACCTCTTCAGACTGAAGCATGAGAAGTTATCTGGCAGTCAGTCCCCTGCTGTAACTGCTGTCATCACCAAGAAGTAATGTAGCTATTGTTTCTTAAAAAGACCTCCTTTTGGTTTTCCCTTGTGGAGCCTCCATTACCTGAGTTATTCCTGCAAATGGCTTAATAGTGCCTATTCACCTTGAAGAGGGAAAAGTTGAGCTAGGCTTTCCTCTCTCCAGGGAGCATTCCATACTAAGCATTGCAAGAGCAATTGGAGGGGTGGCCAGCACATTTAAACAGCAATGTTTAAATGCCCGTATTGGCAGTTTAGTTACTAGTGGCACTCTGGGGGGATGTAGGACTGGAAGGCCAACATGACACAATCGGAGTCTGTGACTTGGATATGGACATGTGCATTGCAGTTCACAGGTTTGCAACTCTTACCCTCACAGGTACAGGAATCAGTACCCTATTCTGGGACTCCTGTCTGATGACTACAAGGTTACATCACCTGTCAATAAATCACAAACTATTGTCATTGAAAGGACAGGAGAGATATGGAAACACGTAAGTTTACCTGGGGATTGACTGTTTGGTCTCTGAAATTCTTAAGTATTCAATTTAACTTCAAAGAAAGTATCAGCCAAAACTGACATCCAGGTCAACTGAACTTGGCTGATTAAAGACCAGGAACTGTCCTGTCTATTGCAAGGAGGCAGTAATTGGTGGGTGGGGTATAAATAAAACAACCTTTTGTTGTTTTCTTGTACACATAATTACCTGTAACAAAAGCAGCAGCCCTGTCCCACACCAGGCTCTGCCCTCGCACGAGGCAGCCTTTGGGCATCGCTGTACCAGGAAGTTAGTTAGGTAGGAGCTTCTTCTGTGTTGGGCTCCCAGGGGAAGGAGTGTTTTGGTGGGCAGTACTCCTCTGAATCATGAGTACTAGTGACTCCACACTATTATTAAAATATGTTAAGCACCATATCCGTGAAACCTGCATTGAGACAGGGCCATGACTAACCCAGGAACTGTGGAAGAGTGAACTGCTCCTTGAAAAGTCACCAGAGTAAAATAGAAAACAGGAGTGCTGAAGCTGTTTATGTTACAGGGCACAAGGTCACCATGCCAAGCCTCTGTACAAGATAGAGGCTTGAGCAGGAGCAACATGGGCAGCTCCCAGCCACGTGTGTGACCAGTGGAGTCTGACGATGCTGTCTGTAGGCACAGTACAGTAGAGCAGCACCAATCTGTATGGGAAGTAGCTTTGAGGGTGGGAAACTACCAAGGTAAAGACAATTACCTGAGCAGATGAAGGGTAAAACATCTGGCATGTTCTAAAAGGATACATTACCTGAAGTAGGATTAAGAAAACAAAAAGCAGAGGTAACTGGCAAGCAGCAGTTCTACAACTGATTTAAAACTCATTCACCTGCATTGCAACCTAATGAAATGCAAAGGAATTCAACATTAATTAAAGAAGTTACAAAAATAAAGCCCAACCCGCTGCCTTGAAAAGTTAAGTCAGACTTTCCATTATCAAAAATGGCAAAGATGAGCGCACTTGGCAGTTGAGATCAGTATCATTAATGAGAACTGTTGTATTTAAGTTTCCCAAGGTCTCTATCAATCACTACTGCAAGTTTCAGCTGAAATGAAATTCCTTTGCTGCAAGATAAACTTGCTGAGTTACAGAAGTGCCAGTTCTGCCTTTCCTCCAAGCTTCACACGTTCTTTTGCTGTGTTTATGTACCATCAGCCAGATCTGTCTGTCTGCATTCATTACTGAACAAGAGCGCTGATTGGTATCTGAATTGCTGTGGGGTTGTGCTGAAAGCACGCGGCCGGTACACGATACCATCCTGCCCACAGTTACCAGGCTCAGTCCTTCCGGATACTTGGGTGCAAATACTTTAACATGGATTCTAGTCACAGCAGAGAAACTTTTAGGGTGGAAATTTTGCAGTACCTGCTCTTCAGGTGCCCGATACCTTCCTGTTCCTGGTTGTCCTCCCACGTACAGAAAAAGCTGCTGTCCCTGGATTGTGTTTACTCAGATGGGGAAGCCTGACTGTTCCGATGTTGGCCCCTCGCTGAACAAAACCGTTTCCAGCTTAATGACACAACTTTGTCCTTGCCAGTGCTGGTGTTTGGGAGCATGGGTTTGTGAAGGAAGAAAGGCTTGGTGGGCCCTTGAGACACTTCAGAAGTCAGGCTGTTAGAGAACAGAAATACCTCATTAAACGACAGGCTTTACAGACCACGTAGTTTTGTTTATACACAGAAATAAGTCTGTGTATTTTCTTCTAACAAGCTGCTTATTTCTATCAGGAGTGAGAAAGATCTCCAGGCCATCAGAGCTGCTCAGAGGAGTCCACAATGACTTAAAGCTGCTTTACTTTCTGCTATTCTGCATCCCCAAAAAGTTCAGTCTGATAGTGGGAAAGGATGGGGAACATGCCAAGGACATGGAAGCATGAAGATGATGGAGAACACTGTCTCATCATGCACGGTTACCTGTGGCTGTAGTCTGCCACCACCACCTGTGTACAGATGCTACTGGTACTTCACACACATGCTTTTGACACAGAAGAGCGTGGCACACCACGTGTTTGTGGACTTCATTTTCTTGATGTGACTAAATTCTGTTCTTCAGCCAGTCCTGAAGCAATCTGAGATACAAAAGGAAGATGTCTGAAGCCTTTTCCTCCTTGCACTCATAGCCATATTCCACTGCCCTAGCTACTGATGCTGAGAAGTAGGAATGATACAGATCTGTCCTCCAGACACACAGAATGGCTGGTTTCACTGCACACAGATTCCCAGATTGCTGTTCAATCTACCACTGCCTGTCCAAGATGAAGCAAACCCCAGAAACCACCATTATGGGGAACTTCAAAACCACCTCACTGAAGAACACGCATCTGCCTGCGTACGGGAAGCTCAAACACAAAGGAAATGACTTCCACTTACACCAGGTACACAACCTGTCAAATACCAGAGCTGCCCAGTTCAGTGACATCATTGGGCAAATGGTGATTTTAAAGGATGTTGGTGACACTAGGGCTGATGTAGTTCAGGTGAACCTTTATAAGCCATAAATATTTATTTGCTTTGCTTGAAAATGTCAAGAACTTGGTGTACTTCTATATAGAAAAACTGAGAATGAAAACAGCTCCTAGACTAAATTCCGGTATCAGACCAACCTCCCATTTACCGTTCCCACTCCTCACAGGACCACAGGGATTTGGTATTCATAATTGAGGCTCTGTCTAAGCAAAGAATCACAGGGAAAATTTTAAACTACGCAATCAAAAGGTGCTGGGTCTTTATTGTGGGGCTCTTGCTTTGCTCTATTTCTGCAGACATATACTTCTGTTAAGTAATATATATCCCAGGCAATGGTTAATGGTGAAAGAATGCTGTAAGGCCACGTGCAACCACGAAATAAACCTAAGTTTAACTTTCTGAATCATGTCTCTTTGTACTGGAAACATCTCATCTGCTGGAGGGGCTTGTTCTAGGTGGTGCGACATGGCCTGTCCTTCATCCAGCCTGCTCCTCTCAGTGAATCTTTACAAGAAAAGGACTTGTGTTGGGTTCCTTTTCTGGCAGAAGCAAGGGGTTAATGAGTGAATTACATCCTCACCTGAATGAGAGCACCTTGCTCCTCTGAAACGAGTCATTCATGGCTGTAGAGCAGTCAGATACAAGGTACACGCGGAGTTAAAATGCTCTGACACAGAACAGTGTCAGTGAATTCTGTTCCAATAGATCATGTTTGTTACACAGTCACCTAATGACTTTCTACCTTTGGTGACCTGAACAATGAAATAAAAAGGGGAAGACCTCCATATTCTTTAATGCCATCACACTGTTACCTGTGCACAACTGTGCTGCTATCCCAACTAAAATGGACACAAAATAATCTGACTTACTGTGGTCTTGGCTGTGGTCTCAGCTGGGCTTGACTGGTTGGAAGCACTGGTTGGACACAAACCACTCGGAAGAAGCTACAGAGAGTAGAAGCACAAGTTATTAACGGTCACACTCACTGGGCACGTGCAGCAGGCACTGCAGGGTCGTGCAGCAGGCACTGCAGGGTCATACAGCATGTTTGCTAAGCACTGCATCAATCTTATGACCACGTAACAGCATAATACAAGCAGTGAATGCCCTTAAAGGACAGAAACACGCTGGCTCTGACTACAGTTCACATTACAACCCATGACACAGGCCCCAGTGAGGCTAATTCTGTTTTGCATACACAGCTGGCACTGCGATCAACTGGAGACCACAGTGATTGATCTCCACACTTGAGGTGGGTAACATACACAAACTAGTTAAGAAAAAAAAGCCCAGTTTGCTGCTCAGGAAAGGCAGATGTCAATACTGCACTGTCAGCAGGGATCAGCTGCTCCAGGGGTTGTTGAGTGTGTAAGACTTCCACACACTGTAAATGCTACAGAGCTGTGGTCATAACACATTTTACTGACAGATCATACAAAGCAACAGCTAGTGTCAAGCAGCTGAATTAGACCAGCAGGTGAAACAATGGCCATTTGGGGGGGGGGTGTTGTTTTCAAACTAGATTATTTAGAAGGCAAATTTAGTATTTTTTCTTATAAAAGTACATGTACTTGCAGTAGTCTCAGACACTGCCTCTAAACTGAAACTGATTTACCAAACAGATTATTTGTGCTGGAGTTTACAGAAACATTGCTCTCATTTACGCATCTCTGTAAGTATTATTTATCCCCCTAGTTATAAACGGTATGCCTTAGATAATTTTTCACCTCAGTTTCAGTAGGTCCACTTGGACTTCTACATTCTTTCAGGAACAAATGAGAAAGACCGAAGGCAGCATTTACTTTATACATCTACAATAACAGACATACCACCCTATTAGCCTGCCTGTAGGGACAGGGTCATTAAATAAACCCTCACTGCCCACAAGCAGGCAGAGCTTCTTGTTCTTACATTGCAGATGAGGAGAAAATTGTCTTCTGGTTTCTGTCACTGACCTTCCCACACGCCTCTCTGTGCCATCTGAACAGAGGTGCTGCTGCCTTGGCTGCACAACAACAGCAAAGCAGAGCCCTGGTTCAGAAGCTACCACACCACCTCCTGCATTCTGGCTGAAAAGGTGACACAGACTTCAAACACTACATCAAGGTAAGGTACCTTCACTCTGAGAGCGCTCTGCTGCTGTCCTCCATTTTCTCTCTTGATTTCGTTACCTTTAATTGTGCACATCTGAAAAGGAGGAGAGGGATGATGATCAATTCACAAATGAATCCCTTTGCTCCTGGCTTTCAGGAGTTCTTAGGCTGTCATTCAAGTAAAAAGATGCCATAAACAGATCTGACATTTTAGAGCAACCCTTACACATTTGTGAAACTCACTGCTTGCTCACTCAACCAGGCTGCACTGGTACCTCATGTACAGCACTGCAGGAGCAGGCAAAGGAGACACCTAACACAGCCAGGAACAGCCGAACTTCCTCAGTGATTGTGCTTCCTCTCCTCTTTCTCTTGGCCTAGCAGGTACATTCCTTTATCACTCCCTAACCTCTACATCACCCTTTCCTCCACCACCCCTACATCCCACCTGTACTGCACTGCACAGGTCTTTTCATGCCAATTCCTTCCTCTTTCCATCCATCACAGTATTACTTGTTTCTTCTAAACCATCAGAGCCCCCCTAACATCCTAAACACCCTCCCTTTGCTGTTCACCACCCAGCCTGGACAGTTACAAGAAGCTTCCACACCTGCAGCTATGCAGACAGGCATCAGATCTGGACAAAGGAGCAGAAGCGCTGATGGGAATTTCAAGCTACATAACAACACGTAATCCAGCCTCAAGTCATCAACATCTAAGCAGCACTGGACAGACCAGCAGCCAAGCAGAAGCACACACTCTCCCAAAGGTATCACAAGCTGTTGAATTTTAAGTTTTTGCTCAAGCAAAAAAGCTGACAGACTTATTTTTAACACCGTATTGGTAGTAATCCACTAACCTTAAACCTGTGTGGGTGAAGTCTCAAGGCAGATCTTGTTCCCAGTTGTCCTTCTCAGCTAGGTTTCACTGTCCATATGCTGCCAAGAGAATAAACAGACTAGTTAATGTAAAGAAATGTTCCAAAAGCAAACACAACAAACCAGCCAAAGCAAAGCAGTAACTCACAGTGAGAAGGCTGCCTGGGACCATCCCGCTGAGTTTACCAGTGTAGTCCCTCCTCCATGCAGCCATCACAAAAAGCAGGGCACACACACAAAGACTGCACCTGCTTCAAGTCCTGAGCACTTCCCTGATAATAACCAAGTGCAGGTGTGGTTTTTCCAACCACCGTTCCCTCTCGCATGTCTTGAAGAACATGTTCATCGCGGGTCTTAGTGTTCCAAAAGGTACGACTGAGAAGTCACTGACTTAGTGCAAACACCACAAACAACTAAACCATTACTGTGTTACCAACGTTATTCTCGCCCTGAATCCAAACACAGCACTGTACCAGCTACTAGGAAGACTATTAATTCTATCCCAGCTGAAACCAGGACACATTTCTAGCCCCATGTCCTGGTCTGCACCCCATGAACTCTTAGGCAATGTGGGATTAAGTCTTTCTACAAAGTTGGCTACAGAAAGATGCTTAAAATGGTCAAGTACCTGATTGTTCTGTCCATCTGTAAGGTGGAAAAACGAGCCAGCACAGATGTGTGCTTTGTCACAGAGTCAGAATGATCATCTTCATCAGTCTGCTATGAAGAAACTCCTTCAGTCTATGTATTCAATATACATACAGGAATAAAGCATTGCAATTGTCAAAACACAACAACTTTCATCACTTTGAGTTTCTGAATCCTACAGCCTCCTCCTCTCATTGCTGGGCATACCAAAAACAGAAGCATAAACAACAGCCAGGTGAATAGCTTCAGGTCTGCATCATCTCTGGTTTTTAGTACAAAACCTGAGTTCACTGGCTAAAAGCCTGCTTGAAGCCCCCAGTGAGGAGCTCACTTAATATTGATTGCACTCTCTTCTAAAAGCTTTCAAAGAAATGACATCTATTACTGATGTCATGATCCAAACACTCTAAAAGAGAGGGGAATTAAGAGCAATGTTTTTAGTGTTCCATTTTGCAAGCTGTTCTTATAACCCGGACAGAAAGACAAAACCTACCTGGCTTTCCCCAAAACACGTGAGAAGTTTTGTGTTCTCTTTACTTGAAGGAAAAAATGTCCAAGGACTGTCAGTATCACAGCTGATTATTCCAGAAATAAGCACAAACACAATACCTGTAACTTCAAAGGGTTAAAGTCAAACAAACCCCGGCAGTCTCCTCTCAACTGTCTGATAAATGTACCTCAAGTAACCTGTTTGCTTGGAACAGTTATTGCATGTTCACTAGTGAGTAACACGATTTAACATATTAAGCAAACTTACACAGAATGAGCCGTTCCTGAACACCATAAATGAAAAGCAAACTCCAAAATATTTGGAGTGCAAGAGATGCGTTTTATTGTATGCCCGTTACGATGAGTAACACATTTAGAAATCATAATCCCACATAACAGTGACACTCTTATTTTACAGCGTGTACATCAGTTTTTACAGCCACAGAAAACACGGATTTTTCTAAGGAGATTTCCCAAATTTAACTTTCTGAAGTTTAGAAATATAAAAAAAATTTATTCTCAAGGAACTGATTCTCGTCTGGTGCAAAAAACCAAAATATGAACAGTTCTGAAACACAAAGCCACAATATAGCATGAAGTTACAATTTATCATGTGAACAGCTGTGTGCAAACATGAAGCAACTAAAAAAGTAAAAAATACACATTATATGCATAACATTTATGAACAGGTTTTTCATTAAATAGCCCTAGACCAGCTTGTTATATTAAGCGCCATTTGATTCGCAGCATGCTAACACAAAGCATTGTTTAAAGGGATGCATATTTTAAATGTATACACTGTAAACTGAAGATCCACCTCCAAACTCTAGTGGCAGCGTATTTCTCTGGTTAAATACTGCATATATACTTTCTTACAGATTGAAAATGCATGTTTATAGTATGGTAGAGACTTTTGTAAAGGGTTGATTAAAAGGTGCAATTTCATGTCTATATGGAAGATTTCACATTAGGAGGCAGGACGACACTCGTCGTACCAGTTAAGAACACTGCCCTAAAGAACTTCTAAGTACTCTGAATGTTAATTAACAAAATCTGACACTTTTCAAGTCTGTTTTCAATGGGTTTTTTTAGAGACGGTTTTAAAGTAGCGAGGAAAAGAATTCAGTGTTGGGTCACAACACTATGAGCTGCATCCGTTTTAGCCTTGAGGAAGAAAAAAAGTCAAATCCAAAGTTAATTTTGTTCTATGTGCCATACTGAACGACATTCAACTGGAGATTCAGATAAAAAAGGGAAATTATATACATACACACCTTTAACCCTAGCACCAGAACACCACCTCTGAGACCATAACATAATGCTATATTTTAAACATCATATCCTGCAATGAAATAGGTTAGCAGCTTTGAAACCATTAAAAATTTCCTTGTTGGACCTAAACTAATACAGGAAACAAAAAAGTTTCCTAAAGAAATGTCTTTTTTTAAAAGAAACCCCCACAAAACCCAAAAGAGACCCCCCAAAATTGACCAGTTCTGGAATTTAATTCCTAGGCACGATTTTAAAACGTTATGATCAAGTAACTGGCTAATACTCTCCTTTCAAAACTGCACAAGAAGTTAAGACACGGTCGCCTTTGCAAACAGTTTGTAAATAACCCCACCATATATCTGAACTGTGTTCATATTGGAGACAAACGCTGTTACTGACAAAATGGGTAACACAATCACCTTTGTTTTGTCTTCTATAGCTTAACGACGTGTAATACTATTAATTTAAAGACATTCATCCATCTTTCTGCAAATTTAAGACATTCATCCATCCTTCTGCATTCTATAGTGCTCTTTAGGTTCTGATAAGCAACAATCATAGGGCTATGAGATCCCCTGTCAACCCTAATACTTTTAAGACTTTTAATACAAAGAATGTAAAGTTATGGTTTAATATCAAGCTTTGAAACCAGGAGAAACAGTTCATGAGATATTTTTTTTCCCCAATTAGCATATCACAGTTTCTAAATTGCTTCCTTCTGGAGATCATATTATGGCCTCTTTGTGGTGCCTCATTATATGCTGATTTTTTTCGGATGGTCTACGGAACCCCTTTTTGCAATACTCACACCTATGTGGATAGTCCTTTGTGTGTATTGATATTACGTGTCGTTTAAAGCCTGACGCATCCGTAGTGCTATATTCACAATACTGGCATTGATACACTTTTCTTCCACTGTGGGTCTTCATGTGCTTCTTAAGTTCATTCTGCTGCCTAAATCCTCTTTTACATCTTTTGCATTTAAAAGGCAGGTCCTTGGTGTGAACTGAGAGGATATGCCCGCTAAGTACAAAAGGATCTGACGTTTTAAAGTCACAGTGTCTACACTGATGTATTTTTTTACCTTTATGGGTTTCACTATGCTTTTTGAGCTCAGATGGACGATGGAATCCTTTTTCACATACCTCACATTTGTGGGGAAAATCCTTTGTGTGAACTGAAATAATGTGTCGCTTCAGGTCACTTGAATTGGTGCTCTTATGGTCACAATGTGGACATTGGTGAGTCTTATGCCCTTGAAATAGTTCTGTGTGCTGCTGCAGTTCTTTTTCATCTGCAAAAGCCTGGGGACAGTGCTCACACTTAAACGGTAGATCAGTCCCGTGTTTGGTTTTGATGTGAGTTTTCAGGTTGGACTGATCAGCACACCTGAAGACACAGTGCTGACACTGGTATGGCTTTTCCCCAGTGTGGGTCCTCATATGCTTTTTCAGCTCTGACGGGTGACGGAATCCCTTCCCACATTCCACACACACATGAGGGAAGTTCTTACTATGAACTGCAAGTAGGTGTCTATTGAGTAGTCCCTGCTCTGCAGTTTCATAGTCACAATATTTGCACTTGTGTAGCTTGGGCTCCTTGTCCCTCAGTATGAGTTTGTTAGAACTCAATGGGCTTGCTTCTCTGTATCTTCTTGTATATTCTGTGAACTCATGCGTTTTATCAACTTTATTTATAAGTTTATGGCTTTCCAGATGATTGTGGAAACTTACTTTTTTGTTAGTTGTAAAGTCACAGTCTGTACACTGGTACTTCTTCTTAATCATATGATCTGGATGATTCTTCATGTGCCTTTTCAAGAATCCTCTGGATTTAAATTTTTTCCCACAAATATGACAAGGGTAAACTGTTAAGGGCTGTCCATCAGGACCTATTATAACAGCTGTTTTTAAACAAACAAAAACAAGTTATGAAGGAAACAAACTTACTGATTAAGAAGTTTTAAATCAGCCAACTGCTGTTCAGATTCATGCACTTACACTTGCAGCAGACAGAGAATGGTTCAGTAGTTTAAAAACAACCAATACACAGCACCTATAGTTTATGTAGCTTTGTTTTAGAAACTGCTCAAACAGACCAGCAGCATCATACATGCAGTGAATATACCCATGAGTAGGCTTTAATAGCTTGCCAAATTCAAATGAATTGCACCAGCCCTGAGTGTACTGACTCCGAACAGCAAAAATGATAACATTTTCTATTCGCAGAACTGGAGGGGGGAAGGACACAGGAAATACGCAAATCATCGTTTGTGCTTTTTAATTCTGCATCAGCTTAAAAAAACAGAAGAAAAGGAATAGTAATACAGGAGTAAGTGCCACTCCGTGACAATATGCATAACCATACAGTGTTTACCTGTTTGCCATTGCCTGGCCTCTCCTCTCCTCCTTTTCTTGGTTTTTTGTTTTAGCACTCTATTAGTGCTAATGCTATCACAAATCTGCAGGTATTGTGTTGCATTACCGTTTTTGTTTTCTAATCGTGTATCCAAGTTATTTCCTAGAAACAAAAATCAGACACCATAAAAAACCTTAAACAACCTTTTTCTTTGGGACTGGTGACTGGAATTGCACAGCAGCATATCTACTTTTTGCAATGAACATACATAAAAGAGTGCCCATATAAAGCACTACCTATCTTTGCTGGCAAGAATCAAGAATGTAATTGTTTAAACACTGATTAATTTTCAAATCTATTCCTTGATTTCTCATACTTCTCAATGCATTAACTTCTTACAAGTTATGCTGTTTCCTTTCTATTCAACTTGGGTTTTCTTCTTAACAACTGCATTATCTACGCTATTAATTACAAAACTCTAATACTGAACCTGGCAGATCCTCCCAACTTCCCCACCCACTCTGAAGGCCTACAACACATCTATAATTGTTTTCATTTCAAAATAGCAAAGAAAGACTGTGGAGCCCTTCAATATATGCTTTAAGGATAATTTTTTGCATTAACAGATTAGAAGAGCTGACCGATAAACATACATATTCTCAAAGACAGCAAGTTAGCTTTAATGCTGAACCAAGCACAGTTACATATTCTTACCTGCCGCTTGACCATCTTCGTATCTTCTGGGTAACCTTCTTTCATCTCCTGTAGAAAATGGTATTCTAGTCATTATAAATTAAAACTCTCTTTTTTAAAAGACAATGGTTTTGAAAGTCTGATAAAGAGAGAAAACTAACTCAAGCTAATAAGTAACTGCTTAACTGTATCCAAACGGAGATGTGCAGTTCATAGTCAGTTCAGTATTTTATAATTATGAGCCCCAGGGAATATAATCATATCTTTCCGAATAGCTAGTATCTACTAAAGCTGTGTTTGCATTTGACTGTCTTTCCTGCTTTTCAAATTAATATGTTTGTTTCTGCAAACTTTCAACCTCATATATAACCTTGTTTCTGGTTTGGTATCTGAGGTTATCTGAAATCCACTATTTGTTCTTGAGATGGAAGCACTTTATCTTTCTGGAGTATAACTAGGCAGATAAGAAGACTTATACCTTATCAGCCACTCAGCACCTATCTACATGAGGCACTGCACAGTTTGGAGATGTAGAATAATACCTTAAGAGTATATTCCTCACTTTGGATTGAAAGTGGTTACTGCTATGTGCCAAGGTTGTGTAGTTCTAAACCACTTTATCAGCCCAACTACTGTGCTCACAAATATCAGCCCAATGAATTTTAACTAATTTGCTTACATACCCCATGGATGACCCCACACCCTCATAATGCACATTTAACATGCCAAAATCCAAGAAAAAAAAAAAAAGGAAACCGAAGAATAGAATTTGCAAGACATCCTGAGAAGATGTTCCTACTACGTGAAGGATCAAGACTAACAGGTTTAAAACAGTTATATAAACTGAAATTAAGAACTCCTTTATACACTTATTCCTCCTATTCTCTTTCTGAAGTTTCTTCCCCTTCCTCCCAGCTATTGTGAAATACTTAAGGCTATTCGTAGTTTTTAAGATCTTCAACAGCCAACTTAACCATTAAACCCCATGCATTCTGTATATCTGAGCTGGAACCCAGAACAGTATAAAAATTCTCCTAACAGCTTTCCTTTCTACTCCATAAAGCAATCCATTCATTATATGCAAGACAATCAACTACTCAGGCAATCTGTAACTGTCTGACAGATCAGCACTGGGAAAACACGATGTAAAAATTGTTTTCTTCACACTGAACTGCAAAAACCCGAGGACCTTGTGTGTAAAAGGTCATGAATGATGTCAAGATGATTTTTCATATGAGTTCATCAACTCCGCTAACTGACACTGCTAAAAGATCAGAAGGAGCCGTTTCCAAACCTTTAGGACAAGGTGAGAGATTATCACATTTGCACAGAAATTCTGGAGAGTAGATCAGGGAGGAAATAATGGAAGGGATTTTCAAAGGAAGCATACAGATTCCTACCGTAAGCAGCAGCCCAAGCAACAGGGACAAAGGTTTTATTCACGCTGGAGTCTTCGAGCTGTGTGTCTGGAAGTGGCGTGGCTTCTTCTTCACCTACAATGACTTCCATATAAACTTCATCTGCTATTTCAGCACAGCCTAGATTAAAGGAGAAGAACAAATCTTTAGCTCAATTCTGCTCATCCTAAATTTTCCTTCAGTGAATTTGCTCCCACTTTGATTGATACTTGTTACAAATTACTTTTCTTCCTTTGGCATTTAGAATCACCACTTCCTTAGCTGGCCACTGTTTACTCAGACATTCCTTAAAGGGAGAAAGGGGGTATCAATAAACACAAATCCAAACCAAATACCTACATAAATTCAAATATACAAACTTAAAAACTTGTAGCTGATGACATTTACCACATGGCCAGAAAGCCAATTAAACGAGGCAACTGACAGTAGGTAAGCAGAGAAATGAGAAATTTGACAGACCTCGTTAACTTCATCCATGGACATGCTAAATTTACTATTAATAATGAAATGACTGCATACAGTATGTGCAAAGTGCATTTATCCACATCACTTTAATTATAGCCTGCTTTTTATCTTTAGGGAAGATGAGCTTTAGTTTTCTATTACTTCGGGCTGAAGAATCCTTCAGGGAAAATAAAGACATCCTTGGGAATGGTGTTTATAGTGTTGTATAAAACAGCATGAGGAACAAAAACGTTTCTTATTATGCTTACTAATATCTTCATCTTCCTGAGAAGAGTCCTTCACAGCCATGTAAACCATTTTTTCTCGCTGCATTCTACCAACACCTCCTTGTTCAATTACTCCAGCTACAGAATGTCCATTGTGAAAGTCGCTCTCTGTGACGATTTCTGTCCCACCTTTAATAAAAAGAAGTTGAACACACTAGGTACATGTGAACAAAGCCACTGTGCAGACTTTTTCAGATTTAAGTATGTTCTTCTTACGTACAACAAAGCTATTTCATAAAACTAAAAAATTAAATGTTTTTACATCCATGTCTGACATAAAATCATGCAAGTCTGGTATTCTGGAGCAGGTAAGGAAAAAAGGTCTTTCTATCAGGTGTGTCCTGATAAATGCAAGACTGAACAAGCTCTACCCAAGAAGGATCAAGAGCCTTTATGCCTCTAGCAGTGAACTGAGGCACAACTGGGAACATACATCTGCCCACACCCTCAAAAAATTGACTGAGTCTCATCTTGCTCCAAACACAATCTTTAAATTCTCTCGAGACGTGAACAGCCAATTCTTACACCTCTTTCTCTCCCCAGATCCCATTTATTCACTTTGCAAGAACCGATTCTTAGGTAATTTTCCCTCATCACACGGGACCGAGGAGCACGTAACTTCATCTGGGGTCATGCTAGTCAAACCATGAGAGAGCAAATGTCATTACCAATTACTTCAACAATAAGAACATTATCTAGAGGGAAAGACTAGCAGGGATGTAAGGTGATGCACTGAATACCTGGAGACAACACAATCCAAAAAGTAACACATGAAAGAAGGAAACGAGAACGCGGCCCACATGGTCCCACTCCATGTGACTAACAAGCTTTGGCTCACTGACTTGAACGGAGGCAAAAGAACATGCTCCAACCTGGAATTCAATATCGATGCTTGAGTCACGAGAGAAGTGGCAGATAAATATTGATGCTTAAGTCTTCCATGCATCTCAGGGACTGAACAGATAATAAAGAAGTAGAGAAGCTGCAGATATCTGCAGAACAAGCTAACAACTACACTAAGAGTCCTTGGTTGCTACTATGACTGGTCCTGATGGAAAATACTCAGCTAGGAGGATGAGTTCAAATTATATACGTTGATCCTTCACTCCCTGTGTCTGTAAACAGAAGATTTTGCCAAACATCCTTCTTCCAACTAAATAAACAGCTCTCCCTCTGCAATCAACATGTGAAATTTCAGTTTTCCCAAGCTAGATGAAAACTGAGATAATATTAGAAACACTGGGATGGGTTACGTCTCTGTGGAATATAGTGTTTGGAGATCGTCATGCTTTTGAAGGCAATGGTGAGAAAAACAGACAGTTTAACTAGCAGCTACCCCTATCAGTCATGCAACACAAGACAGATCCCAAGGAAGCAAAGGAAACACTTCATTATGACACTTTGGAACAGGTAGGGTAATTCTGTAGAATTACAAGAGAAATAATCTCCACTGCAAGATGCATATAACCTGTGATGAAGTAGTCAAGAGCACCTCTTCAACAGCAGTCGCCACTGCATGGAGGGCAGGAAGCTGAGGGGCATATGAAAAGATGAACTGCTTCTCAGAGAGAAAAAACCACAAAGGCATCATACAGCTAAAGATTTCCTGAAATAGCAGTTCAAGCCACTGGGAAAACTGCACCAGGATTGTTACTAATTGGAGTTTTCTGATCTAATCCATTGCTCTGTCTCAAGTCCAAGATTTTCACAGCATAGCCAGGCCAATGCTACTGATCTATGGGAGATGAACTCCCTTCTCCACTCCAGGAAGAACAGTCAGGCTGATTTGCTCTACGAATGGCTCTGGGACTCCAGGCCAGATATGTTCCAGTGCCTAAATGCAAACAGTAAGTGGAACAAGACAGAGGTTTGAGCTCTCATAACTGTAAAGGAGAGTCTGCTTTTACAAGTTACGAAAAACAGAACATGGGTTAGCTGTACGGCTGCTTACAAAGCCCTTGAAGTGCTGGATCTTCCTTTGCAAGAGAACTGCAGAGCAACTCTGAGTTTCTTTGTTAGGCTTGGAAATGACTGTCTCTACAGCCCCAGCAATCTTCCCCTCTTTCTGTATCAAGGCCACCAAGGATTGTTCAATAATTGCAATCTACTCTAGAGGCTTTCCAGTGCTGACACAGTTTTGCAAACACTAGAGAGAAGCAAGAGCTGGAAAACAGCTGCAGACAAGCAGCCAGTTCTATATTTAGGCTTTGGTTGCCTGAAAATAAATACTGCTAATTGAAAAAGAACTCAAGATTAATACAGTCCCAGTGTTTACCCCATATGGGCAGCCTCCATAAATGTCACCTTCTACAAGACATTCCAGTCAGTAGGTTACATGAAATTAAGAACAGATGAAAATACCCTGAAATACTCCACACTACTGGAAGAATACACAGAATTTAACAGGTACCTATTTCGACATCATCTTCAGCTTCAGCTTTAAATATGTAGACTTTGATGACTTCTGAACCAAACCCGTCATCTTTAGCAACATCATCATTTGCCACCTCAGTGCTGATTTTCAAGGGAGTGCTTCCTATATGGTCCAATTTTTCTCCAACATCATCCACTGGAAACATAAGAGAATAAAAATGAGGTTCAAACTTATTTTTAAAAGTCAGAGTAATCACTAGCATGATTTTCTCCACTACCATCCCCATGCACAGTAAAGGTTTCTATTCGTGAATAGCCTTTACAAAATAGTTAATCTCAATATACTTAAAAGAGATTTCAGAAGTTCAATACTCATTTTATTGCAACTCAGGAAACACAGCAAGAATTACAGAATGAAGAACACAAGAGGGAGCTTGTCATCAAAGAGAATGTGGTAATTGGTTATTTCTGAAACTATTATATTGAGAAAGCAAAAATGTATCAGTAAGTAAAATTAAACACCTATCAAAAACATTAAAAATTAACCCAGAATTGCCTGTTACAGTCCATGTCCTCCAAAATTTCACTGCTCTAAAATTTAGTAACTGAAATATGACAAGTGATGACTAGGAATATATTCCCAATGAAAGAAGTCTGCATCAAAAATCTGACATCTTCACTCTAAAAGAAATTATGATTCTATCCACTTTACTATTTGAAAACATATAAAGATTGTTTTTATAATACTCAGCTGATTAAAAGATGCAATGACAACAAATGCAAATACTAATATGTGAAACTGACTTCTCATTCTTTATGTATGCAACTTAGTCACCCTGAGTTTTTGGTCTATATATTCAAAATGCTCATTTTATTTATACAACAAAAATTCATTCAAACTATTAAAAGTGTAGAAGTAACACTATTTTGGTAAAAAGGGTAGTCACTTAGATAGCCATCCATATGTATGGCCCAAATTCCCAATGTGGAGTCCACTGAACTAAGCATCTCTCTGACATATGTACTGTCAACACACTTCTCTCGGTGGATAAAATTAGCTCCTATGCAGATGGTCAGCACAAACCTGTGCAATGCTTAACACCCACTGAAATCCTATAAATAGGGGAGAATTCCACAAAATATAAACAAAATCTGAAATAAATACATTCCAGGGAAACAGCAATTTACTGCACATATAACACTGAAATATGTGCAAACTAGGTTAAAGAAAATAAATCATTTGAATTGTTATCACAGTGACAATGTTTCACAACCAAGAACACAGCCCACTCAATGGGGACACTGCAGGCTCTGATGACCAAGGAAAGGATGCCTGCAGCGCTTCCCAGTGCCCTCAGTGCAGTGGTGACTGCTCTTGAAGAGCTGCTCTTGACTACTTCAAGCTACAGTCTGGAGCACTGAGGTCAACTGGAGTTAGTTTAAGCTTCTCTTAATATTCCAGGCAGTCATGCGAGGTGGTTCAGAACCTGCTAGAAAAGGAGCAGATGCCCCTCCTGCAGCAGGGCAGGAATCCACCAGAGCAATACCAAACTAAGCTCTTCCCACTCACAGAGAGGATTCCACAGAAACACCTGTCCAACACTATTTTTCATCCCCACACTGAGGAACCTTGTTTCTATTTCACATATCTTGGACTGCACCAAAAGAGTACAGAAGTTATTGAGGACAGAACTAGATATAATAATGTAGATACAAATAAGTATTTGGTTTTATTTTAGAACCTCTGAAAATTATGTATTTTAATGAAAAATAATTCCTCAAGAAAAGAGTTTGGGGTTTGTTTTTGTTTTTTTTTTTTCCTAAATATAAATTAAAATTGATTCCAGCAGCATCTCCATCTGTTAGAAGGTGACATGTACTGCATGGCCTTCATGTTACCTTGCAGGACGAGAGCACTAAGAATTACGAACACCACAGATAAGAAAGCCACACAGAGAACATGGCACATTCCTTTGATGCTTAAGTTCATCAGCATCAGGTTATCAGTACATCTTTATATCCAGTATGGGGGTGTTACTGCATCTGTTAACTGGTATTTTTTATGCTGCCAGAATGGAGTTATTAGAAGACAGGAACTTGTATCCTCTGCTAAAAAGAAAAGGGAAGATGCTAAAACCTACTTATCTTGGAAAAAGTATTTCTATACATTTACTATATTTGAATTTATTGAAGACCATTTTCTCTTCTGCATGGTTTTTATAAAAGTTTCTTATCTATGTTCTTTAAAGTGATACACATACACTTTGTTCTAGTACAGTGAACATTTCCACTGCACATGAGTCTCTGAAGGACTGGAGGTAACAAAGTAGGAGTGATACCATCAACAGCTATATGACTAGACATGCTGCCAAAATGCAGAAAGAATATTTAAAGGCTGAGTGAAAGAAATCACCAATTGTAAGCTGTTACTGTAATTTTAGAATGGGTAGGTGGAAGTAAAGTTATTTTCAAATATGCAATTCAAGCAACACCTATTTCTTCTAAACTCATACATTTTATAAAGTTAAACACACAATCAGTTTAACCTGGAAAAGAAACATTTCTGTACTGGAAGGTTATTTAACAATGGCAACTTCCTAATGAACAGTAGAGTAACCACATGTATGTGGTAATAAGTTTTCTTTATGGCAAAAATCTCCAACTATTTAACTACTATTGAGTGACAATGAGTGTACACCACTATGTATGTGGTGAAAGAACATAAGGAAATTCACACAATTTTAGACAGTTGCCTTACCAGGACATCAGCTGCAATGCAGCAAAAAATACAGAGAGAAAAAAGGAGGATTTTTTTCAATTTTACCATTTTATAAGAATATGCATATTCAGCCAAAAACAAAGTAAAATACATGAATAGAGCATGGATGCTCACATGCTGTATTTTAATTAAAGCCCCAAACTTCAATATCCTTTAAAACCATAGGGAGCCATGGTTACTTCCACACCACCAAGAACCCTGAGTGTTTTCAAAGGTCTGCAGTCTCTACAGCTTAAGCTAAAGTAATGGAAACGTATCGGGAAGCCTCTTACCCAGGGCCTCTGGAATCACTTTTCTAAAAAAAAAAATTAAAAATAAAAAAATTAAAAAAAAAAAATCAAAAGTGTAATATAACAAAATCTGAAAAATACAAACTGGACTGAGAAAACGATACTGATATAGGCTGTCACTTGTAAGATGTTGCCTCTTGTTTCAAATACCTCAACAACAAAAAGACATTGAATCGCCAATTGCTATTGCTTAAATTGCTGTCTTACACGAACTACATTTCATGGATTCAATCTGCTTCTTAAACACATTTAGGTAAGGGGAAGACAATCAACACAGCAGGACACGTGTAATCTTTGTCAAGTTCCAAAATAGTAGGACTATTTTCAAAAACAGATTCTAAAATATTCCATTATCAAAAAATACAACTTCAATCACAGACTGCTAACCCATCAGTGTTAAATTATGTGATGACTTTTCCCAGTGATAGTTCTCAGGAACAGGAATGCTTACTTTAGGTCAATGGAATATGAAAGTGTCTTCCAGATCTGACTCATCCGCCAGAAGCACTACATATAATATCTCGTCACTTAAAATTAACTGAAAAAACACAAGAGAACCTTCATAAATATATGCTGAATCCTCCTAAATAAACAAGGTTTAAAGGAAAACTCAGCACACTTCCAATTTTCAACTTACCTTACTTCGCTGTTTTCAGGTGTGTGATGTCCAGATTCACCGTGGATTGCCAGCTCCCAATTCATGTGATGCCTCAGCATGCACTATGCTGGTGATATCACACCCACCATAGGAGCCCGTAGGGATAACATGAGGGCAAGATAAGTCCCATGGTTTTACATTTTTAAATCGTTTTCTAATGTCTGATGTACTTATTTTATATCCCATAGGTTACAATCTAGGAGTACTAATATAAAATGTTTAGCAACTTACGTAACACTGTATTGTAATATACTAAAAAGGAGGTGGTGGTGGAACAGTACCTTACCCCTAAAGGCCAGCTCCAGTGTTGTTCTTTGGTGGGTATGAGGTCACCAACATAGTGCATGCAGGGCCAGCACACGGATCGGGAGCTGGCAAGCCGCTGTGGGTCTGAATATCGCAAACCTGAAAAACAAAAAAAGGGTATGCTTTAAGCTACACGTGTCCTAACTCCTCCCTGGCTAAATGGGATGCACTGCTCCTAATTTTCCCATCTCGGTGTGAGATGGACCGGATTCATGATCCCCACATTTGCATTCAGAATTTCCTTTTTAAACAAGTATTCTGGATACTTTAAACAAGAGATCGTGCACATCCCATGGCATACGTTGTGAACGTATCAGAGAAATATTTAAGACTTAAATCACCTCGTAAAGCTGATTTAAAAAAGCTGAATTCGTCTGCGCTGAGAGAGCAGAATGGTGACAGTCTTCTAGTGTAAATGTCCTATTACAAAATCATACGCAGCTGATTTACACAACTGTCAAGAGAAACTTCTTATCTTCCAAGGAGTATTTACACAAAAATATAATTACCAATAGCGTATAAAACAGCTACATGGCAATGCCTTAAAATGGTGATAAATCAGCTTTCAGTATATTTAAACTGTAACTCCCAACAGAAGAGTAAGGTCAGTTAAAATTCCACACTCAGCTCAGCTTCACACCCTAAAATGTTTGTGTTCCACAGAACAGCTGGTGGTATTCCCTAAGAGCATTATCTGTTGGCTTATGTAAAATCACCCTTTCTAGATGCTAGATTTCATTAAAAGACAGTATTTTGAGATTCTTATAAACTAACATTTTGATGTGGCTTACATTATAAAAAAGTTAAACAGTCCATATATATATATATATATACACACACGCCCCCCAAAAGAAATAGGAAGGTAACTTTCTACAGTATCTACTGAACACATGACAATTTAAAAATATAAGTAAATAAAAGGTGTTTTAAACTGCTTGATAAACTGAGGCATTTATCTATTCCACACGACAGATGATCTGCACAAACAAAACCATTCAAGTTGAATTTAAAAACATTTAAAACCCAAACAAACTTCCCCCAACTGTGTAAGATTAATTTTTTGCTGAGAACAAATAGCTAGCAGGGATTTTGTTGTGTCAAGCTGCCACCCCCAGCATAATACAGCCTCAAAACTTAGCAGAGGCAAGAGAATTCATCTTTATCAATGAACTGGATGAGGAGACTGAGTGCATCCTCAGCAAGTTTGCTGACACCAAGCTGGGTGCGTGTGTTGATTTGCCTGAGGACAGCAAGGCTCTGCAGAGGGACCTGGACAGGATGGATCAATGGGCTGTGGGCAATGGTACAAGGTTCAACAAGGCAAAGTGCTGGATCCTGCGCCTGGGCCACAGCAACGCTGTGCAACATCTCACAAGTGAGCGGCTGGAAATCTGCCTGGCGGAAAAGGGCCTGGGGGTGTTGGCTGAACCAGCTTGTGCCCATGTGGACAAGAAGGCCATTGACATCCTGGCTTGTGTCAGCACCAGCGTGGCCAGCAGAAACAGGGCGGGGATTGTCCCCCTGTTCTTGACACTGGTGAGGCTGCACCTTGACTCCTGGACTCACTTTGGGGCCCCCCACTACAAGAGACACTGAGGTTCTGGAGTAGGCCCAGAGAAGGGCAACAAAGCTGGTGAATGGTTTGAAGAATAAGTCTGATGTAGAAAGGCTAAGGGACCTGGAGTGTTTAGTCTGGAGAAAAGGAGGTTTGGGGGGACCTTCTGTAACTACCTGAAAGGAGGCTGTACTGAGATGGGGGTTGGTCTCTTCTCCCAAGTAAAAAGAGACAGGACAAGAGGAAATGGCCTCAAGTTGTGCCAGGGGAGGTTTAGACTGGATATAAGAAAAATGTCTTTACCAAAAGGGTTGTCAGACATTAGAACAGGCTGCCCAGGCAAGTGGTGGACTTCTCATCTCTGGAGGTATTTAGAAGTGTAGATGTGGCATTTACTGACATGGTTTAGCGGTGGACTTGGCAGCGCTGGGTTAATGGTTGGACTTGCTAATCGTAAAGGTCTTTTCCAACCTGAACAATTCTGTGATTCTATGACTGCCTCAATTTATCTAAAATGATTACTTAAAATTCTAAACAATGTAGCTTCCAACCTTGAGTATTCAGGCATATCATGATAAGACACACACACACATATGTATAAATCTAATTTGTTGAAAACTAGGTCTCAAACTGGCTTTGAAACATTGCAAAAGCCATTGACAGGCTAGAGAACATGTGACAAAACTACAAATTTACCAGACACAGCTGGAGTTATCAGGTAACTGTTACTGAACATTTAAGATGCTCTTGTCTAAGTGCAGCGGTCACCATTATCAATCAAACTTATCTATCTTAGAAGGAATTCCAAAGATGACTTTACTTACAATTACAAAGATGCAGTTGGAAATACCGCAGTTACAGAATACAACTCATCGTAAGTACTCTGTCAGAAAGGAGGAATTTTTTCAGTGAAACAACTGACTTTAAAAATGGTGTTGCTTCATTTACAAACACACAAGACTTTTTCTGTGGTAGGTATAATTTGCTTTTAGACTGAGGGCTTTTTGGTTCTTTTTCAAAACAAGCCCCCATTTTTACTACTGTTAGTGACATATGGCATTACAATACTGATGAAATGATAAGAAATATTTGCTGCCCATCCCATATTGAACAAAAAAGACCAAAAATATATTTTGCATAAGGGACATAAATGATAGGAAATACTGAGATCATTACAATCACCAATGAGTCATGTCCTCTGTCTTGAAAGTTGCATTAAATGCAGCTTGCTGTGAACAAGCTGACACTTTGACACACTTGGTATTGCCATTTTTTTAACATGTTGCTTCTGACTAAATAAAGCCTGGTTTGACCTACTCACGTTTCAATAACTCATTTGCACAAGTCAAAAGTCTAAAACTATCATACATTTTCCCAAACTCATGTGATAATAAAACCTTTGTGTATAACTTAATCACTGAAGAAATGTAAGATACCTAAGGTCCTTTCAGTAGATCTCACTCAATAAGTAATATAGGACCATACAGTTTCCTCAGAGTTGAATGCTGCATGGCAAGTGAAATGAGTAGCTACTTTCCAGTGTTACAGAGCCAATCAATTAATACATACAACCCTTCAATGTCAAGTTCAGCCCAGAACACCACAACATACAATAAAATGCCCATTTTCATATGTAATACAGCTAAACAAATGTTTTGTGGGCATGTAAGAGAAAACTATGTGTCAAGTATCTTAAAAACTGACTTCTTTGTTGGATCCTATTGATTAAACCCAACACATTATTTTTACAACAATCCATGTAACACGGTAATATACCTGTGTATTTACAAAAAAAAAAAAAAACCCATATTATACTAAAAATACGTGGAATGTTTAACTTTGCAATGCATTTGTCTTAATTTTCAGGAATATCTAGTTTCAGAAACAGACATACACACACATTCACTCAACAGCATGAATGTCATTCTTTTTCTTGCTGTATAAATAAGGATTTTTTCATCATGAAACCCCAAATCCAGGCTCCAAGAATTAACTGGGCAACAGACTATTATTTGAGAGTTCCAGTACACAATGCAGCAAGAACCAGTTAAGAGGAACTTCTCCCCACCAGACCACTTTCACTTCAGATAATCTCTTGTTCATATCTACCTCTGTTTAACTTACAAGATATCATTAAGTAGTCCTCAGATGTGCTCTTGCCATCATCATCGTCTTCTGTTTTTATAGTCACTGTGGAGCCAGGAACAGTACCAGCTGCTTGAATGACTGCTTCAGAATCCGAGTTCGTTACGAGAACTTCTTCTGAAACCATCGTTGGTGAGTTGGCTCCTGACACAGAGTCTTGCACCACATGCTCCAAATGTCCATCAGGACCCGTTACAAGATCAGCCACAAAAACCTGATCGGGAACTCTAACCGTTTCTGTTATTAGATCAGAAGTCAAAACATGATCACTGGTATCTAAAGCTTCTTCAATAGCAACATCAGCTTCCAAAACAGAATCAGGAACAATTACACCTTCTGTTACAACATCAGTTTCAGTGATGATGTCAGGTCCTTGGACAACTTCAGCTGCTAAGCCATGATCAAGAGTTATTCCATCATCGGTAACAACATCAGAAACTAGGACAGCTTCAGGAACTGATACAACAATATGGTCTCCATCAATATGAGCAGTGCCAGCCATTCCAGCCACTATGAAACAATCATGAATGAGGAGAAAAATGTTAAAATTATTGCATTAGCTATTAGTTTATCCATGGAATAACTGTATAGAGGAGTTAAACACAGATGTACAAACCTGTTACTTTTCAACAAATCACAGTTTGCATTTCACCCTGATAAAATTTATCCAAAGCAGCCTGTATTCTTTAAATTAAGAAAAACAAAACACGCACTTAAGACATAATGTGGCGTTTGTCCCAAATTTAGGTTTTACAATGCTGATATGTTAAAAATGACAGGCCAGTCGGCAACTGCATCTTTTTTTTTTTTTTTAAATCCCAGTTAGAAAATATTTGATTACAGTAGTAACTTGCACCTTCACAGAATTCCTGCATGACATGGGAAGTGCGGTGACAATACATTAATTGCTGTTACAGCACAAGGACCCCCATCCTTTAGACTACATGGGCCTCGATAGAAAAATACTCAGCTGTATGCAATACTTGTAGTACAATTTCCAGCAACTTGACACATTGCAAGAAATGGCTCTAAGCAGAAACCTGTTTTTCATTAAGAGACTTGACTAGCCAGTCACATTTACACACTACTTCTCTATACATAAAAAAGAATGCAGTGAAAGATTTTAACACACACATAAACAGAAGTTTCAATCTTAATGAATAAAACATGCAAGAAAATGGTTCTGATCAGAATGAAAAAAACTTATTCAGCATTGTACTGCAAATGCAGTTATACTGGTACACTGAGGGATGTTAATTCACTTTAGAACAAATACACGGTCCCCTCCCAATACTTGAGAAGGACTGTCATCTCTTGTCATAATGCAGAAATGGAGATCCACAAAGAAGAGTGGAGATTTCTTGGTGTCCTTTTTCTAAACCTTCAGAATTGCTGAGGTTATTCAGCACTGCTTAACTAGGAAAATAATTCAGAATCAAATTTTCTTACATCAGCACAGTCCCAGGACTGACGTTCTTTACAGAAGACTTCTAAGCACATGTGAACATGCAGATTTAGCTAAATTCGTAAACTGATATCTACATAATGTTATCTGTTCTCACACAGACAAAGCCATTACTTCCCACCACATTTCCTGAAATACCCTAAAGGAGACAGTAACCAATGTAAGCACACAGAAGCTTGAATGCTGGTTACATGCTGTACTGGATGGTATTTACCTCTCCTGTATGTTGGAGATGTAACAACTAGTCAAGATGATTTCATGATTTCAAGCAGAAGCACACACCCCACAAAACTGGTGAGCTCCAAATAACATTTTATGTCTCATCTAGAGCACTTTGGGCCTCAGACTTAACTTCCTTTCCCCTCCTCCACAGAATTACTTCAGTATTTTGGAATAAGTGACTATTTCAACATCAGCAACCGAAGTCTACAACGACATAGTATATGCCACTTAAATCTTTTACTGCCTCAAAAACGTCATGCAAATAGCAATATTATATTAGTCAGCTCTACATCTTGATATTCATAAACATTTAGCAAACCCCTGAAAAAACAGTTTTGATTTTATTAATTATTTTTTAATAGTAAAAATGCTTACCAAAATCCTGCATAATCATAGTGTGAGGCATTTTGGATTCTTGTGTTTGCAATCCAAGACTTCCACCACCTGGATCCATAGTCAGCCAAGTTCATTCACAGACAACTGCAACAACAGCAAAACCAGATTTTACATTAAACAATGTTATATTGTGTTCATCAGCTTTACTGGATTAACATGTCCCCCTGACAAACAGAAAGCAGCATTTATCAAAGGCTTAAAGAAAAAAGCATGTAGTACTTGGTACAATTCACTTTCATTTATTCTTTTGTTCTATATTTTTGACCTAAAATCCTGAAAATGTTTCCATTCATAGGCAGTCCTATAGTAATCAAAAAGAATTACATGTGATTGAAACTAAACAAGTCAGTAATTCGTGGTCAGGACTTAAAAGTTTTTTTTATACAAGTCTGGCCTAGAACAGTTCTGCTCATATTCTATAGAATTTAACTGGAAAGTGCTCCTAGTTACCCTTCAGCATGCAGAGGTACATGTTTCAACATCCTTTGTTTCTAGGAGCGGTAAACACAAGAAATGCCTAAGCTGTCAACTTCCCCACTGCAAACTGAACATTTAGATATGTTTCCAGTTTTCTGAGACTGAAATCTCCATAGAGTAACAGCCTGGTAACTGACAGCAAAGATCTCACCTGCAACACCAGCAGCAGGGTCGGGACACAGTAACAAAATATAACACATTAGTAAAAATGAACCTAGTCACAGGTAACTTAGTATCTAGAAGCAGAAACTTTGTCAAGAAGCGAGTTAACTTTGCCTTAAACTGTAGCTTGCTACAGAAGCAATACAAGTCAAGAGATCAGTAGTGTGTACATGCCCTTACTAGCTACATGCCTTACTGTAATAACATATTAGCAACTGTGCACAAAGAAGTCACTTCTGCTCCACCCCTGTCTCTATATACTCTTTAACTAATTACCAAGACTGGTGGTTACAGTGTGTGGAGCTACACCAAAGGAAGTGGAGCACCATACTGAGAGTATCAATTTTTTTTCCTAGTCTTTCACAATTTTGTAATTATCAGATATTTCAAAACAAATTCTAATGTGTACACTTAACTGGATGTTATGTTTAATTACAGGTAATTATAAGTTTCAAAAAAAGCCTGCATCATGGACCACATTTCTGAGAACAAAATGCTCAAAGCTCATTTCCCTTCCAGAGGCTGCATATGAACCCCCCTACTGCATGAAGAGTCTGACAGAAGGCCCAATAGAAAATTTAATCATTAGATCTGCATGCACAGTGCAGAACTACCCATTATAACACGCAACAGCTAAGCACAAGAGAGGCCAACTTATTTCAATGTCTCCACTGCCATGATACTCGCTGAAGAAACAACAGTGCTCAACAGACTTCAGGGCTGACACCCCAGTGTTAGGACTGCATTATCCATATTGGTTGACATTTCATTTCAAAACTGTCAGGTTTTTCTAGAAATCTTATCTTCCAACACTGTCCCTTCTGTGCTGCCTCGTTTCTGCTGCCAGGGAAAGCTGGTCCTATGCAGCTATCTGCGATATCCCTCTAATAGAAAACTGAGCTTTAAAAGCTACTGATAGAAAAAACCCACCAACTCTTGGTAAGCTTCCCAGTTACCCTTTCACTGTTACACCGTCACCTTTCTTTTGTTTCTGACAATTGCTTTGCCGCTTTGGCTCTTCTAATGCCCCTTAATGCTTTAGGGGCTTCTATTTTCAGATTTCTCTTTGTCAGACCTGCCTATTTTCCTCAATCATTTAAAATTACACCAGTTCCTCAAACCTTGCCACACAGCTGTGACAGCTTTACTCTGAGTTTTACTTCTGAAATTCTCACAGTCATTGAAATGCAATTCCAATTATTCCAATATCTAAGAATTTCCACACATGGAGAGTAAATGTTGAGCTTCTCACTGAACTCAATTTTACCAAGATCTCCATTTCTGGTATCATCTGTCTTGAGGCTGCTGCATCTCTGCTGCAAGGCAGAGCTACATGAACTTGCTTTCAGAGAAAGAGAAAGCATGTAACAGTTGACAGAGCGTTTCCATAAAATACAGGAGAAAAGGATAAAATAGGATTACTCCATGTTATTTGCACTGCTACTAAATTAAAGTGTGTTGAAGTGTGGGGATTCCAAATTATTTCCAACTTGCTGCAACCCAGAAGACTTTTACACAAGTTCTCAGTGGAGATGAAATGACTGCATAAAAGCAGCTACAGGAGCGTACAGAAGAAATCTCCAGCTTAAAAAACCTCTGTTGCACAAGACTAAAATCTTGTACTTTTCTGCCCTCTCATAGCCAAGAATCAGAAATAAGTGGAAGTATCACACAGAAGATGAAGGTTTAGGAGTTGTAGGAAGTGAACAGAGTAAGAGCTCAAGTAAGAACTGCCTGGTGGGGAGATGAACAGGGAAGTACAAATGCTTCTAAGAGCAAGTCCCCAAAATAGGGTACTTTCACTGCTGTAGCACCAACCTTGATTTTGCTCTTCTGAATCTCAGAAAAAAATTGACCCCTATCTTATTGCAAGAATGTCTTTAAGTCTGTGCATCTAAATCCAAAATACACTAGAAACCTCAAGTACTCTGTGGTACAACCTATTTCACAACCCCGCTGCAATGAAATAATATCACAACAGACTTAAGCACTAACATAGTCAAGCAAGGTGAGTAATAAAATAAGCCAAGCTGTCATAAATGGAGTTAAGTGCCTGAAGTCTCCGAGACACTTTCAGGCTAGAACCAAAGGACCCAGAGAGCCAGGACCTAATGCAACTCACACTATCGCACTAATCCATAAGTAAACCACACTGCAGTAGACGTGACATTAATTTCTCTTAAACATAAAGCTCTATCAGTTACAGGCACAAGAGTCCACAGTAAAAGACCTAAAAACTGAAGGGAGTCAATTACTACATTTATGGCAACACTCGTGGCTCACCAGAACTGACAGCGCTGGATCCTTGGCACCAAACCAAGTTGCCATTGCGAGGGAGATGCTGGCACTCTGTCAGTGCCTAGGGTCACGCCGCACAGGGCTGACCCACAGAATCAGGTGGTCTCTACTGCGTCAGTCCAGCACCAGGCAGTCTGCGCGTGGAAACAGAAGCTCCAGATGTTGTTCAAGCCAGGCTGGAGGCCACCAAGATGAGATGATGTGAAAAGTCAATTGTAGTGCTACATTGCTTTACCTCCTTTAGCATGACCATGTTAAATGCCTTCGCTCCAGCAGGTGATGCAGAATTCCTATTCTGTGCAGGCCATGCCACAAATGCCAGGTGGGTACAACTCTGTCTTTGGGGGGGGGAAGGGGTGGGGGTGGGGTGGGTGTTTATATGAAAAAATACAAAACAGGGTAACAAATAATCTTAAAGGTGAGAAATGTGGAAAACACAATCCATGCTTACTGCATCTTCATTGTCAAGGAAGGAACTGAGCAGATCATTCCTTCTTTTATACTCTTCAAATCCTCAAGCGAAGGAAGCAAGAAGTGGTCCACAATGATGGTAATTTCAAGAAAAAGTCACGGATCCACCCCAAGGAGGTTTCAACTTAACTGAGAATACAAAAGAACCAAAGAACTTGTATCACCTGGTGTCACTATCATCCTTTCCACATTGTCTCCATATATTGTTTGATCAAACCTACTTCTCTCAAATTGTTACATCAGCAATACTAACTCCTGGGGACAATGACATAACACTCTTCTTCCAAAGCCAAGGAATTCCCCAAAATCATTTCTCAATAGTGCCGTAACAGAGTAAGTTAGGTCCATAGAGCAGCCAGTACTATAAAAACACAAATCAAATATTATCCATGAGGAAAACAGTCTAGGATTTAACCAACCCAATTCCAGCCAGACAACCAAATTTCAATGTAGTTTTAGGCTTTGGCTAAAAATCAAATTATTTCACATTTGCAAGAATTACAGAGCAGTTCCAGAACCTTCATGCAGTGCTCCAGCACTCCTCAATTATGGTCACAGCCATCTGAAACTCTTAGGGTAGCTAACGAATACTTGCCGTTACAAAATAATATACAGCTCTGGACCATGAATGCTAATTTAATACTGTGATTTCAGAACTAATGCAATCCTTTACAATTTCCAGCCTTCACACTCAGGTAATCCTTTTTTTCAATGTAAATGGTTATGAAAAATTATCTTAAATTACATCAATCTTGGATGACAGAACAAGCTGCACTTTCCCTTCTTCTCAATAAGCAGTCTAATTTGCTTTCAGATTATATAATTGGATGCCCAAACCTATTACATATTATGCTACACCGAAAATTCAATGCAAAGACTATTATTTTAACTTAAATTAGAATTTCTGCAAGGAAAGCAAATTATCATTAAAAGGAGTATTCTCCTAGTAGCTAACAGAGCTATAAAGAGGTACAGCTATGGGATGGCACCTTCTGAGCATGTAGTACTATGAATACCTCAGACTTCCACTAAAACTAGAGATGGGTGATGACACACTAGCAAAGAACATGCTGAAGCTGTACCTCAGCTGATGCAGCTGGTATCCAACCCTCACTTAATCATTACCCTCAATGCAGACAAAGGACAGAGTTTCATTAACTACACAATCACCAATTTCTTTTTCAGACCTACTTTGGGGTCTTAAAGGAATGCAGAGACAGCAAGAACCCCCCTTGCTGCTAATGCTGGAACAATTAACACCAGGTTATGCCCACGGTTCTCCTACAATTGGTTGTTTCTGCTCACAGATTGCAGCAGTGCAGATGATTCAGTTTCACACAATATATGCATGCAAATCCTATTACTGGAAACAGCAAAAAATGTAGTACAGTGATTAACTGTGGTTCTACACCATGTTATATACCCACACAATAGAACAAATGTTTTTTCATGTTTTAAAAAGGACTGAGAAATAAGGCAGAAAGCCACAATTCGGTATACTGTCAAAAGCCAAAACGTACCCATATACCTCTTGCCTCTAACTACCAAGATCTCAAGAGTTTTTCTTCTATATTCTTCTTCTCCTTTGTGTATTTAAAGAAAATACCACAAAAATGCTTTACCAGCATCGCTCACTAAAATAATCTTACAACATTCTATTTATTTTTTTTTTTTTTTAATTATAGCATGCTATTTCGTACCAGGATCACCATGAGATCCCAAAATGAAGAATTTCACAAACCAGTTACTAAACTGAGACTCCAGGGTAGAATCTCAAGCCCAAATTTTTAAAGTATGTATGTGAGAATGGTTTCCCTTTTTCTGAAAAGCATAGCTCTCTAGCTAGCTTCAGTTAGAAGCTATTTAGTTCTTTATGCCAAAGCTCTTCCTTAAACAAGGCTCAGCCGAGACCACGCAATGAATTTTAGGGTAAAAAAAAGGCATATATAACCTCTTTGTCTCTGGGCAGGAAAACTACTGTAAATTACTACTGTAAATGGGGTTTAAAATTTAAAATCAAAGGTAACATTTGGCAGTTTGGCGTTACCTAAAAATACATAACAGCAAAACTCAGCTTAGAAACTTGTAAAGGCCCAGGCCCTTATTAACACTGCTCTTGGTATACACAGTGATTTATTCTTAAGTTTACTCTTCCCATAAAAATATGATAAAATAACCATTCCTATTTTAATTTTAAGAAAGCTTTCAAAAATTGACTAATCTTTATCCAAGTATTTTAAGGAGGGGAAAACAAAGCCTCAGCACTCCCAGGTTAAAAAGAAAAGGGTGCCGTTCCTGTACCCAGGGGTACAGTGGAGCTCCCAGTCACAATGCTGGCTTACAGGCACTGTTGGCATACTTTAGATTTTTACAATATAACAAATATTTATACAAAATGCCAATTACAACTTAATAAATTTACAGAAGAGTATGTACCTAATACGTTCTTTTACATCTCCCAAACAGTGTGACATCCTAAACATCCTTTTTTAAATCTCCTAACCCTGCAAATGCCAAGCATCTCCCCAGTTCAGACATATAATTATTCCAGTTGTGGAGGGGATGCATTTGCACATCAAGCACATTTGCACGGTCAGCCCTTAAGCACTCCTTTCAAACAATGATTTTTTTCTAAATAATTATGTCCTGTTTACATATAATAAAGGAAAACACATCAGAATTTGTCTGCTGTTTCAAATATTTGTAAGCTGCTTATGACATTTTAATTAAACCAAAAGGACCTCGCTCAGATACAGAGTGATGCAACACAATAAACTTAGATGCAGCTGAAAAATCCAAACCAGTCGTTCTCTAATTCAGTTATATTCAAGTTCAAGAAGAATACAAAAGAATTATCCTCCCCTGAAAGTCACTTGAGGATTTTGGGGTTTCACCCCTAATTTTTAACACAGCAACCAACAGAAATGCAACAACAAACATCCTGCTTATGCAGAAATCTTCAGCAGAAGAACCCGATTCATGTAATAACGTGCAGGTTACCATAAGCCCTTCACAAAAAAAAAGACTGGGTATGAAAAACTAACATCTCCATTTTAAAGTCCTTTATTGTGTTCGCCTATAAAGCATCCATGAAAACTTAGCACTCCAAATCCATTTAAAATGACAAAAGCAAAACCAGTGCACGAGATCGTGCCTTACTGCCCGAAAATACGCCTAAGGCTCTTAAATAAATTAATAAAAGAGAATTTACATCTACGTGTTACATCCACAGCCGTAACGGAACTTCCCATAATAGCGACCACGGGAAGAGAAGGGCGGCAGCCGCATGAAGCACCGCGCAGGGACTGCCCTCGGCTCCAACGCCTGGACTCGCTATCCCGCCACTCCACCGGAGACGGCAGGGACGGCACCGCGCTGGGGCTGCGCGGCTGCGGAGGAGCGCGGAGCACAGCGCAGAGCAGCACAGCGCAGCGCGCGTGCTCGCGGAGCGGGCGCGCCACCGGGCGGCGGGAGCGCGGCAGCGGGGCGAGCGGGCGAGCCCGCGGTGCCGGCCGGGCAGCCCCGGTGCGGATCCTCTGCGCCCGCGGACCGCTCGGCGGCCGGCAGTGGGCCCAGGCACCCCGTCCCCGCCTGGAAGGGCCCCTCCGCACAGCAAGAAAGCGGGAGCGGTGCCGTCGCGCCAGGGAGAGGCGGCGGAGGAGGAAGGGGTGGGAACGCGGAGACAAAGGAGCCCGCTGAGGGCACAGGGCGGCGGCGCGGCCCCGGAACGCCGCCCGCTGCAGGGAAGGGGCCGCTGCGACCCCCCCCCCCCCCCCGGCCTCCCGTCGTTGCGGCGGCCCCGTCCGTGACGCGGCCGTGCTGCTGCTGTCCCGCGGCCCCACATCCCCGCCCCGCCGCCGGCGGGCTCGGGCGGCACAGGAGCAAGGTGTCCCGCGGCGGGCCGGGAGGCGGGGATAACCCCTGTCCCGGCGGCGCGACGGCCCGCGGGGCCGCAGCCTTCCCCGCCCCGCCGGCCGACATCTTGTTTTCCGCCATTTTCTGGCCGCCCGCAGAGGCCCCTCACCCGCAGGGTTAGCTGGCGACGCCCGCACCCTCCCGCCCAGCGCGGCGGCAACCGGCGGCGGCCGGAGCTCACCGACCCACCACAGGGCGGCCGCGGCCGGGCCTGTTTGTGTCCGCGGTGGCGCTGGCAGGGCCCGGGCGCGGCCTGCGGCGCGGCCTAGCCGCCTCCATTGTGCCCACCCCCCGCTGGCCCGGCTCTGCCGCCTCGGCTCACCTGTGCGGGTCCCCGCGCCGGGCGGCCGCGCCGCGGGACCGGGCCCGGGGCGGGGGAAGGGCCGGGCCGCAGGACTCCGCCGCACGGCGGCGGCCGGGCCTTGCTGTGCGCCGGGGCCGGGCCTGCACCAATCACAGCCTGGGCCGCGAGCGCGCGCGGCCTGCTCCCCTCCCCCCGCCGCCCGCTCGCCGCCGGCCCCGCCGCGGCCGCCGCACGTCACCGCGCGCCCCGCGCGCCGAGCAGGCGCACCCGCCGCGCGAGGCCGCTGCCCTCAGCCTGCCCGCGCGCCTGTGCGCGGCGGGGAGCGCGCGGCGCGCTCGCAGTGGGGCGCGGGGCTCGGCCGCGGGCACGGCAGCTCCCGCCAGGGGCGGCGCCCGGTGTCACCGTGCCCGCGGCTGCTGCCCCCGGGGCAGCGATGGGCACCGGCGAGACCCGCCCGCACCGCGGTGCAGGGAGCGGGACAGGAGCCGCCACCGCAACGGCCGGCGGGCGGTGAGAGCCACACAGCTGTGGGATGGGCTGGGTTGGAAGGGACCTAAAGCTCATCCACTTCCACGGACAGGGACACGTTCCACTAGAGCAGCTTGCTCCAAGCCCCGTCCAACCTGGGCTTGAACACTGCCAGGGATGGG